ATCGATGTATCAAAAAATGTTGAAAGTCGGTGTGCGCATAATAAAATCTATCATTTGTATGCTACGTGCGATTAACTTTTTATTTTACTCAAAATGAATTGTTTTTCTTGGAGTTGTAGGCCCAGGGATGGCCAATACCGAATAGTTCACTATTTCGAATACATTCAAAATTATTTTTTTCGAATATGAAATTTCGAATACTTCGAAAATAAAATCCACTAATTGAAGTTTATCTAAATGTATGGAGTAATTTCCATACAATAAGCAATGGAATAACTGCTATCTACAAGTTACAACCTAGCTATATTACCAGGCATTTCATTTTTGCATGTTATTGCCGTATATATTTTATATACCATGAGTCATGTTAACAGAAATAAATTAATACAGCAATAGTGGTATCAATGATGGAATTGAATATTTGCGCAACACAAAGTCATCCTAGTAAAACGCCCATACTTTTAAATATCAACCATTATCCGAATTATTTGCCAAAAAGCGGGATAAAGTATGAGTTATTTTTCCGACCCGTGACAATTTTTTCTTGAGTACAAAAATACGAATCAAAAATTAATTATATTCGGGAACTTTACCACACATATTAAGTCCACAGTACGCCGTTGTATGTTTGAGTAATAATACTTTTATTATTTTATAAATGTGAAAATTGGAATCAAAAACTATTTATAATCGGGTAGTTTACCACACATTCTAAGTCCACAGATCGCCGTTGTATTTTGTAGATACGAAAATAGGAATCAAATATTAATATTAATCGCGAGTTCGCCACACAATTTATGCCCACAGATTGCCGTGATATTGTGCCGAATATAATTAGTTTTTGATTCTTATTTTCGTACTAATGAAAAAATTGTCACAAGTCGGAAAAATAATTTATACTTTATCCCGCTTTTTGGGAACTAATTCGGATAATGGTTGCCATTGGTTTGTATTTAAAAGTATGGACTTTTTACTAGGATGATTTTGTGCTGCGCCAAATATTTGAATCTATGACCGATACCACTATTTAAAATGCCTTACCGTGTTTATTTAATTTTATTGTCAAAACTCAAATGTTGGTAAATCGGGGAGTTTACCACACATTTCAAGGCCACAGATCGCCGTTGCATTTAAGAATTGTAATAATTTTATTATTTTGTAAATACGAATCCGAAATTAATTATAATTGGGTAGTTTACCACGTACTTAATGTCCACAAATACCCGTGGTATTTGGCATTAATACTTTCATTTTTTTATCAATATGAAAATAGGAATCAATATTTAATAATATCGGTCAGTTTACCACACATTTTATGTCCACAGATTGTCGATACAACCAAGAGTTACGTTGATCAGAATTAAATTAATACGGCATGACATTTTAAATGCTAGTACCAGTCATGGATTGGATTATTTTGCGCAATAAAAAATCATCCTGGTAAAGGATCGATACTTTTAACTATCGTTATCAAAGTTATTTTCTGATAAATCGACTTGTTTTTCCAACTTTGACAATTTATTGGATATCGTAACAATGACGGCTATTAACACCGTATTTCCCGGCTAATAAGTCCACATGGCAAATAGGACGATGTCTATTTTTAGCACTCAAAAAAGGGGTTTTTCCATATAGGTATTAGGAAATAAGACGGGTAGAAAAATTGTGTCCCTATTGTTCAGTTATGCTGATATGCGCTAATAATTTTATATTTTTAGAACCAGATCATAATAGTTTGGTAGAATCATACTCACAGAATTAACTATTTTTAACAATTGAGTGGTGAATTTAAGTTGTGAAGCGGCAAACATTTTGGACAACCTATTAACCCGAGTGTTGAAATAATTTTGGAATGTGATAAGTACTACACTGTAGGTGTACGGGTTATTTCGCAGCTGTGTTTTCCTGTCCCTGTCATGTTCTTCTGAATCGGCAAAACGAAAGGGTCACAAATCATTTTATCTCGGTGGCGGTGTTTGTCTTTAAAGTAACAATAACCGGCCTGCGATTTAGTATCATGATTGGCAGACCCTAAGACCCAAATAAAAGGTTACACAAATCATGCTTGAGAAGACTCATGCGAATAATAAGCAGGCCACATAGTAATAAAATAAACATACTTTCTCAAATGTGCAAATGTGTCGCAACACTATGCGAGGAACGGTCGCACAGAATATAAACAATCAAAGTGCCGATTCTATTTCATCGTCATTACAATACGTGAGACAGCGTAAAAAGTCGTTTGAAGATTCCCGTAAAAAGGAAACACCACGTTTACGGCGAAAAGTGGCTACTATTCGGAATTATTCGAAAATCAGCAGAAAACGTATTCGAATACTTTGATATTCGAATACATTCAAATATTCGATTCGTTTTGGACAACCCTGGTTGTAGCTTTGAAAAGGCGTTATAAATTAAGGTAGTTGGTCGTTTACGTTGAGTACAATTTATAGGTCATGACATTCAAAACGCTTTACGCTTTAATTAAACGCTCCCGGTCGTGAATTGTCTATTTTCCTTAGTAAAAAATCATTTCAGCTGAAAACGTCAGCGTCCTTTACAGTTACCGATCTAGCCAACTTCCGTCAAGCAAACGATTATAAAAGTTATCAACGGTTAGGAAGTTGTTAACCCGTCATTTACGTGACGAGATAACGATAATGTTTTACAATATATCAAATATCAGTCTCATTTTGGAAAGCGGTTTCATTTTAAATTTGAAAGCTGTTGTGTTTTAGCTAAATTCAGTTCTACATAGGCTGGGTATAAAATGCTTGTGAACACTCTTTTGAGAAATATTGATCGATGGACAGCAGATTATGTTCGGGGTTTTTCATCCAAGTTTTTATGGGTAGCAAGTAATTCTTCGGTCTCTGACCCATATTCTCGTTATACTGTTGTTGTTCTTTTTCATTCGTTCGTTCGTATTTTCTAATTATTTACTGGACCAGTTGCTGTCAAATTTCAGTGGTTAAAAATTGTATTTTTCGCTAGAAGGCTTTTATTTTATTTATTTCTAAAATTCCTGTGGGCTCTTTAGGATTCTTTTTGTGTGAGATGATCCAAATTGAAAATTGCGCACATTTTTGCGGTAGTCTCGTGTGAAAGATTGCGTACACGTACTACTGCGTTGTATTAATTAAATCATAAAACTAAGCATCAAACTCAAATGTATATACCTCCCATAGGTATCAGGTCTAACTGTAGTTGGTTGAAATAGTTGATAAAAGACTCATCGGAACTGCAAAGAGTTTTTCAAACAAACCTGTTACCCACCTCGATCATTGTGGTGTAACCTTAGATCTTGATACATCGTGTCAAAATAAACTTTGTTGTGCCACAATAGCGTCAGCGGGCAGTATACTTATAGGCATACAAATAGTTATAACTTGTGTTATAGTTTTAACATCTGGAAAGGATTACCATGCTGGCACAAATTTTGCAAAAACTTCGAAAATCGGAAAGCTTAAATGATGTATGAAAAGCGTTGATAGTACAAGTCATTGTCATCTCAGACTTCAAATAACAATCAGTTGCGGATAAACGGATTGCTTTAAAAAGCATTGGTTGGCAAATTTTATTTACTACTCGTTTGGTGCATTAAAGGGGAAGTTGTCCGAAGCCCACAAAATATTTGTTTGCCGACCCCTGTTTTAAAGAAATAAAGATACGGTATGACTCAACACCATATTAATGTCGCCGAAGGCGGGTGGTAATAATTTTAAGCGAAGCTCTGTCAAAAAACATTCTATGCTGAGAATATATCGTTCACTGAACTTCAAATAAGCTCAGATTTCATATTCATTTGTGTATACTTACTTCCGATTTCCAACTTGTTCATAAAACTGAGCTACATTTTAGTGGTAGATTATGGATATATATGAACGTGGTCGCAAATATTTAGCCTAAAATTAAGAGGTCTGTAACATCAATCTAAGATACTTAAGCTAAGCAGAATGCATTTTAAAACGCTTCCATACATATGTACGCAAATCGTGTGACACCTGTTGCAATAAAACGACTTTGATGAAGTTGAATACAAGATATAACAGTTACGGAAAGTTCCATATAAACTTATACTTGGGCAAAACAACACATAGGTAGGCTAAACGTGGAAGTTTGAATATCTGCGGCGAAATATAGTGTTACATAAGTAAAAGTCCTGTTAATAAAGGAGATTTTTTAATTCAGGGAACTTTCGTCGAACTCATGGAATAGCTTCACCGAACCCTAGTGGTTCGATCGAACCCAGGTAAAGAAACACCGCAGTATAAAGTAACCTAAAGTGGCGTTAATGAGTCCTGATTTTGGATTTTCTTGAAGACGTATCAAAAACTGTTGAAATTCGGTGTGCGCATAATAAAATCTATCATTTGTATGCTACTTTCGATTAACTTTTTATTTTACTCAAAATGAATTGTTTTTCTTGGAGTTGCAGCTTCGAAAAGGCGTTATAAATTAAAGTACGCTGATTCTTTGGTTTCTGCAAAACTAACTACTTATCCTTCTTCTATGCTTTTGTGCCGGTGGATCCGTATGCATATATTGCAAGGATGCTGTAGCAAGAGTATAGATAACAATCCTAAGTGATTTAAGAGTCTTGTATATAAGAGTCTAATATATATTTATGTTAGTGTGCAGCAAGACTCTTAAATCACTAAAGTAAATTGAAGTAATTGGTTGTTTACGTTGAATATAATTTATAGGTCATGACATTTAAAACGCTTTACGCTTTAAACGCTCCCGGTCGTGCATTGTCTATTTTCCTTAGTAAAGAATCATTCCATCTGAAAACGTCAACGTCCTTTACCGGTGCCAATCTAGCCAACTTCCGTCAAGCAAACGATTGTAAAAGTTATCAACGGTTAGGAAGTTGTTAACCCTTCATTTAGGTGACGAGATAACGATGATGTTTTATAATATATATCAAATATCAGTCTCATTTTGGAAAGCGGTTTCATTTTAGGTTTGAAAGCTGTTGTGTTTTAGCTAAATTCAGTTCCTACATAGGCTGAGTATAAAATGCTTGTGAATACTCTTTTGAGAGATATTGATCAATGGACAGCAGATTATGTTCGGGGTTTTTCATCCAAGTTTTTATGGGTAGCAAGTATGGAAAATTCGCATAGCTCTTTAGTCGGTTAAGTTAAGCCAATGAATGACACCTGATTCTATTTTAAACATACCAGACTGGCTCTCAAGTTGATACGACTTTAGCCAACTAGTTTTTGTTGCTACCATGTCCCTTCAATCTGAGGAGTTCATTTATAGCCACTCACTTTTCAGCGTTTGCTCTTGATTTTACTTTACAATCAAGTTGGGCAGCGATAGATGTTCAATTGTCTTCGTGTAGTTGAAATAATGAAGAAAACCTAACAGTACTGTCTCGAACAGTACTTAATCGTCTTTATTTTTATTCTTAATGCAGAATATTAAGTGTGATATGGAGTATCGTGTATATTCCACCCGATGGGTTTTTATGCCAATAACTTCGATTAGTGTATTTAGTGTTGTTTTTATGGAGTACTGCTACGCAGGTGTAAATGACGTTCTCACGGCCTATTTCCAGACCACGCCATTTTTTATCGACCTTCTAGCGACATGGACCTTCTTTATGACTGCAGTTATCCTTGTTGTTCTGGCTTTATTCAAAGATAATTTCGACCTGAGAAATCAAATCCTGTCAACGATCACCTGCACAATAATAGGTTCAATATTAGTATCCATTGGTTTCAGCAACAGGTTAGTTGTTAGGATATGATGGGATTTACATATTTATCCCAGTGGGAGAGAAAAACCGATAAGACGGCTTGATCACATGGCGAAACAACGGCCTCTCGCAATGTTACCAGTCCATGTCGGGTATGGAAATTAGTTAGTCATATATTTTCAGATGCATGGACTTGATTGTAGAGAAAGATGAAACCGACCAGCGGTTACGTGAACCACCTTATACGCCGGCGAGGAGTGCTGCGATCCTCTTCGCACATAGTTATCCCTCACGGAATTTAAAACCTGTGAACGCAGAGAAGTCGAAGGTGCGATGGCGAGCGTATCTATAACGCTCAGTACGATGGGCCACACCGCCGTTACTTGATTGTCAACCTGCATTATGTCTTGTTGTTTTTTCACTATTTGTAAGTTCCTCATTATATCAAATAGAAAAATGACAACTCTGAATCTATTCATGATAGGCAGTTATGGCGTCAGACGCGATATTGTTTGACACACCAAAGCACGTTACACCGAAAATGAAAAATCCTACATATACAAACTTTGCTTACGAACCAATTACATTATTAGATAAAACTGCCATAACAAGTGCTTTTCTATAGTCTCGCTCGAGCATCGGTAGGAACTGTAAAAATTATTCCGTTTATTTTAGAGAATGGTTCTATATAGTGTTGGGAGGTCAAACGTTCTTCGGAGTTTCTTCTGCAATCAATTTCATCATTCAAATTGTACTCCCTGCAAATTGGTTTTCGGTGCACGAATCAGCAACGGTCGTTGGAGTGTTTTGGGCATCATGGTCTCTGGGACAAGCAGCAGCTGCTGGAATATTACCATTTGTTATAAGTTCATCGGATACTATTGAACAAGGATCTACTTTTTTGAAAGTGAAATGGGCGTTTCTAATTGTAAATGGTGGAATTGCGTTATTACATATAATAACAGGCATATTTTCCTGGTTTTATCTGGCAAGCCATCCATCTAGTCCTCCGAGTGCATCACAACACCACATTTTGAAACTAAATACCGATCAAAAACCCCCAATTAGTGATTTTCTGATTGCAAACATCAAACTAATTTTGAAAGCGCATTGTAATCGCGAATACTTGATTCTTACTGTAGACCACTGTCTTGCCATGTCAGTGGTGGTATTGACAAAAATATTGGTTACATCTGTTTTCTTGGATACATTCAGCAACATCACTGACGATGACGTAGCTTGGATTCGCCTAATAGGATTGCTGACTTCTGTTCCTGCTTCAATTGCATTTGGAAAGTTGCTCGACAAGTGGAAGAAATTCAAGGAGCTCACACTGACAGGTATCTCAAAAAGTTATCAATAGTCTGCCACTCTAGCATGCTTTATTTTATTTTTTTGTCAGAATTTGTTCTTTGAACAATGTCAGTAAGAGTGCTATAATTAAACCATGATTTAGTTTAGATCATGATACACATAAACATACATTAAGGGGTCATAATAGACATTACGTAGATTTAAGGTCATGAATAGAATTAAACACAATAAGACATCAAGGACGTAATGAAACGTCATCGCACAATAATAACCGTTCTATAGTCTCGAAAAGTGTGTGTGAGGGGGGATTAATGATAAATGAAACATTACTGGTAAATAGAATTATATTTAGAATTTTTGAAATAAACGGGTCTACCATAAAAAAACTGAAACAATATAGAATATAATAATTCTCATAGAATAATTTTTATTAGTTCATATACATGTATATGACTAAAAAAGTTCGATTAATTTAAATGCGCATATTCTGTTTTTAGGCGCTCCTAGACAAATTCTTTTATTTGACCGTTTCAACTCTTTAGGCTTCACCCTACTTTGCCTATAGTAGTAGTGGTAAATGCGGCCCTGAATAGTTGGCGACTATATGCGTAGTGAGTGAGTGTTTACTTTCATTAGCAGATAAACAATGAATAATACAATATAGTATGTGAAATCAAATAAATAAGTAAGACATATTTTTATATTCTGCAGCTCACATTTGCTTAACCATAGCTGGTGCTGGAATAGTAGTTGGTCATTACTTCAAAAATTTCGTTTGTCTTGCTGTTTTATATCCAGTTACTATGGTTCTTGGAATGTTTTCTTCCGTCACACTTACTGAATTTATGATTGAAGCAACCTACCCGATGGACAAAATTATATTGACGGCGTCACACTACTTTGCAACTGAAATGGGAATATTCACGCTCACATCTGTTACTCGATATTCTTTACAAAATTATGGAGTTCTTGCTGCAGTCAATATTGTCCTAGTTACATGTGCAATATCGGTATTGCTTCTTATTGCTGCTAGACCACATTACACGAGATTGAACACAGATATGCATGAGTTGGTATGTCGCGAGAAAGTAAGAGACGAAACACGGATACTTCTGCAAAAATGATAAAACCGTTATAGAATTGAAATTCAACATAAATAGGAACGTTTTATGGAGATTATTGGACACGACTGGACCAGTTTCTTTTAAATTTTAGTGGAAAACATTGTATTTTTAGCTAGAAGACTTTTATTTTATTTGTTTCTAAAATTCATGTGGGATTCGTTTTTGTGTGCGATGACGTCATTCAAATTGAAAATTGCGCACCTTGTGGCGGTAGTCCACTGTGTCAGATTACATAACCGTACATCTTTGTTCTGGCCCACGTGTCCATATATCTGAGCATCGCTCTCTTGCTTCCGTATATAATAAAAAAATAAGTAACTTACGTTGACTCATTTAGCATAAAATAACTATGTTTCATTTTGATGCGTTTTACCTGTTTTGGCGCAATCTAAAGGTTAAGTTATCAGTCTTCATTCATTTCACAACAATTAAATATGATCATCATATGATATTCAAAGCTCCATAAATTTCAAATCATACTAGTGGTTACCGTCATATGTGAGAGCACACCAGGAAATTGGTATGGTATGGGCACATCATGTTTTGATGCTATTACGTTACATTTTCTTTGTTTGCTTGTGATGTTCAACTTTTTTGGACGAAGGTCACATTTAGTTTACAAATGATTGCGCGGGCCACTTGACATGGTAGTTATGTTCTAGTTAACAAAGCACCTAAATTATAAGAACAATGGAAATACGAAGATACAGTAAAGTCAAAAGTTTTAACCACACATAGATCTTTCGATGGGAAGTATGGCACTGCGTTTATCCGACAAGTTTGTCAATAGTAGGTGGAATGGACGATGTAGCAATGCGGAGCGGATTTTTCACGTAGCTGTCAGAAATTTATGTCTCACGGAGGATTTCACATGGTTTATCCTTGAAAAAAACTTGCTCGTAGAAGTAAATGCTGTCAAATATTGAGGTCATAAAACTGCTTACATGAAAACAGATTGAAATACATGGCAGACGATAAAAATAAATTCAAACATGTCTCACTAGCAATAACGACCATAAATGGACATAAAAGAAGCTCCCGATAGCTAGGTGGTGCTTCTCGCTCGTTTAAAAGACAAATCTTTCATTAGAGGTTTCAAAAATGGCTCAGATTTGTGAAAGACATCGGGATTTCAGTAATACCCCGCGGGCCACTTGGAAATCTTCTGCGGGTCACATGTGACCCGCGGGCCACGGGTTGGACGACCCTGCTTTAGACACTGAACCTCGCTTACCAGTTATATGACATATTAACTTTGTTCAGGCTAACTTCAATTTTTTGTTTTATCTGATCTGAACCACTTGCTGTGACTGAACTCATTTAGGCTATGTATTCAAAACAGCGAATGCACCCCAAGTCAAATTCATTGCAAGATTCCTAACACTGAGTCGAAAAGTGACATTTATTTGTTTTCGATTTTTTTTTAATTCAGTATGCGTTATATTTTGTCGTGAAAGTTGTTTACGCTCTCAATAAAAGAAATGCACGTGTTTGGCTGACTTTATTCAGAGATAATTTTTTAGATTTAGTTCTGTCAACGGTCGTCTGTATAATAATCGGGTAAACGTTAAACTATCGGACCAACGTTTATCAGCAACAGACGAGTGAGTACTTGATTGTCAGCATACATAATGTTTTCCCCACATTTTGTGGAACTTGGGTTTATTCATGATTGATGTGCTCATTGTTTTGAAATGCAGCATTGTTTGACATACCGAACCAGGCACATCGTGAAATGAAAATATCCTACTACATACATAAACGGTTTATCCTCGACACCATGCTGTGCCTTTCTTAGCTAGATACCTTGGGATATGTGCATTATCCGGCGCTCCCGTAGTATATGAATTAAAATGGCGGATACAGGAACATAGTATGTGTACCCGGTTCGGGTTAGGCCATACTTTTATTCCAATTTTCCCTATTTTTGTTCTACTACGAGTTTGGGGACTAACCAAGTGACTCCCGTAGTATTTGTATTTGAAATTATGGCCTAACCCTAACCTGGTACACAAACTACGTTCCGGTGTCCGTCCTTCGCAATCAACGTAAACTATCAGCTCAGATCTACAACAGGGGTGGGCACGGTTATTAAACCAGTGGCCAAAAATTTTGCCCCCTAGACTGGCGGGCCATGTATGTGTGACCTAAGAGTTACATTTCATGAAAAATATTTACAGTGTTACAAGAGCCTAAGTGAAAAACAATAAGCCTCGTGACAAAACTAAATTTAATCGCAATCCCAACAAATTCCTTCCGCTATTTCGTATACGTTAACATCAAAATTTGGTTTTAGTTTGGTTGTGGCAGCATCAGACGGGCCAGACTGAATTAACCAACCGGCCGAATTTGGCCGGCGGGCCGTAGTTTGCTCATGTCTGTTCCAGAGCGTACAATTTAGAAAAAAATACAAATTCATTGGTAAAATAGAAAGTTAATAAACCCTATTGCGCCATTTTTAGTACTTTCGCATTATTTCGTGACTTGACGATCAGTGGGTCACCATCACTGGTCTATATGATTTTATTTTATTGAGGGTGACATGGAGTTCCGTGTATATTTTGCTCGGTGGGTTTCTATGGCTAAAATTTTGATCACTGTATTCAGTGAAGTTTTCATGACGTACTGCTATGCCGGTATAAATAACGTTATCACGACTTATTTCTAAACCACGCCATTTTTGGTGACATGAACTTTATTCATGGCATCAGTTAGCCTTTCTGTGCTAGCTTCATCCAAAGCCAAAGTTGGCTTTAGAAATTAAGTTCTTTCAACGATCATCTGTTCAGATTCAATATTTTCGATATAGATTCAATATTTTAGGCAATCGGTTTCATCAACAGGTGAGTTGTTATTTGATTGCCAAAAAGCACCATCGTTTTTCCAGTTTCATAAGTTTTCTAAATGTATTAAATGGGAAAATAGCAAACCTGAGGCTAGTAATAATTGATGCCAAGTATTTTTTTTCACCAAACCATGTACTCGATGAAATAAAAAAGCTGCCCATGAGACACCGAGCAAAACTGTCTGTAACGAATGCTATTTTAGCCCATGACGGATATGGGTAACTGCAAAAAATTCTACATATTTCAGAAAATTATTCGGGTCTTTTGTACAAAGTCCCCGCCACTAATGCAAAAATTTGAGATTTGAGCAAAAGAGACCGACACCTTTTAAAATGGCAAATCAGTAATTATCCAATTAGGGTTAGAAATGATTTGAAAATTTGAATTTTCAGCGCAATCGGCATTCCAAACTGGATAATTACTAATTTTCTAACCCTAACATTTGTCTTATTGGACACGTTTAGTCGACATAACGATCTTTTTGTTGTTATGTTGTTCTTTGACACTTTTTGGACACCTAGTGGAAATATCAAAAACCGCTTTTCTCTTTGATCACTGGAACAATTAATTTGAAATTTTTAGTGGTTAAAAATGAAATTTTTCTCCAGAAAGCTATTACTTTTATTCATTTAAAATATTTCTGTTAGCTCTGTGAGATTTGTTTTTGTTTGCTATGACATCATTAAACGTTCTGCGGGCATCGGACGCCATTTTGTGTCCTACTGTACTGCTTCGCTTAGTGTGAATATATTTGTAGACTGTGATCTGACGGTACGGTAAACCGTACTGTACTGCGAACAGACGTGTCCATATATTTGGGCGTAGCTCTCTTGTTACTAACAGTTATTTTATTTTAAGCGTTGGTGGAGGTGTTTTTGTTTTGGGCGGGGCTTTGTACGAAAGATTCAGAATTTCATCTGCAATCAACCTCATCCCTTAATTCTACTCCTTGCAAATTGGTTCCCGGTGCATAAAACAGCAATAGGTATTTTCGTGTTTGGGAAATCTTGGTCTTTGGGACAAGCAGCGACTTCTTTTTCTATTTGCAATTGGTTCAGCACCATACATGCTTGAATTCGAATCTACTTTATCGAATATTGAATTTTCGACTGTGGAACAGTGGTAAAACGTGTCTGCATATATTAACAGGCGTATTTTTTTGGTTTATTTGGCAAATCATCCACCTAGTTCTCTGAATGCATCACAACCGCGAATTTTGGAACGAAATATATATATTTGATTCGACAATAATAATGTAATTTACACAATCCAAATTTTCAAAAATAGTATTTTGTTCATATCTTCGAATTACATGGATAAATCCATGCAATGTGTACAATTTCCTGCAGAAACACAATAGATGTGGCCATTGTGGCATCTTATTCTTCTCTCAAATATGTTTGGTGCCTGCCTTTGACAAAAAATTTCCTTTTCTTCACATGTCGTTAGAGAAACTCCTTCCACCTGTCATAGAAATTAGGAACTCACAAATATGAAGTTGTTTGTGGCACACACTAGACTAAATACAGTTGTAAGATTTAGTTTACTAAACAAGCTTTCTTGTTTGCAAATGAATCCTGATGTTACAACTGTCGTGGGATGGAAGAAAGTCACTTACTTCGTCATATGACATTCAAACATTAAACGATAAATTGATTATTTCACTCATAAATGTTGTGTTTTCAAGCGTGCCCCTGATATAAAAGATATTCTTGTAATATTTGATAACCAAAGAAATCTAAATATTACTTACATTAGGCAAAAGATCCTTTACCAAAATATCTTCAACAACATCTTTATCGTACAGTTTATACGATCCTGATGAGTCGCCAAGAAGTAGTTTTTTCACTTCAGCAATTGCTTTACGAAAAGATTCGGGTCGACTGATTAGATGAAATGAAAAAAACTTTATTCAAAAACGATTAGTTTTTATAATTTATATTAAACTAATGCAAATATACATATATAGTTATATGAAACGGCAGTGGCGGCGCGTCAATAGGGCCAACCGGGGCAATGCCCCGGTTGTTTTTTCGGTATAATAAAAAATATTCGAAAAATACCTCAATATCGGTTGCACAGACTGTCTACACTAGCCATATTCTCCCGACATGGTTCATTTTTCGCTCGCAAAGCCTTCGCCGAACGTCGACGGGGCGACGCCGATTTTGCCCCGGTTGCTCATTGTATATCGTATTCTCTCTTTTATCTTCCACTCGCCGCGTTTGTCTCGTTTGTTTTCTGTTTCTTTTACTAAATCATCGGGGCCGATCGGGGCTAGCCCCGAAATTATGGCGACGCAATGCCGAAGTTTCTTACAACAACGTGTTGACATATTCACGCATTCCTTCTCGTTTGTTGGTTGCTTGAAGAGTTGATAGTTTCCTCGCCTTCGTTGTTGTCGCTTTTTTCGCTATTTGAATCAGTTAGAGACCTTTAGTCCATTTGCTTTCGATTTTCCACATTCCTTTTGAGCTCCTCACTTCTTTCCGGCTTCGCATTTCTTAGCCTTAGACCTCATAATGAATAAGGTTGATGCACTACTTCGCACTCCGTTTTCGCAGCTGTCGCTGGAACAAAAATTAGAGGTACAACGTCTTGGGCCTTATCAACCAAAAAATAGTTCAGTGGAACAATCCCATGACGGAGGAAAGCGTCGGCGTACATTCTGCGCAGAAACTTGGTATAAAAAAACACGAATGGTTGTGTTACAGCGAGGACAAAAATGCACTTTTTTGTTTTTATTGCCTACTTTTTGCTACCGCCCGTGACTCACGTTGGTGTAAATTTGGTTTTAGAGATCTTAAACATCTTTCCGAGCGTGCCGGGGATCATCAATCTTCTATGGAGCATCTGGACAATGCAGTAAAATACCGAACATTCGGAAATGTTAATATTGCAGCACAGTTGGATGAAGGACGCGCGGTTTCTATTCGTCGGCACAACCAAAACGTCGAGAAAAACCGCCATGTTCTCGGTCGATTGATAGATGTTTTGAAGTTCATTGGTTGTCACGAGCTGTCCCTCCGTGGGCACGATGAACGGGCTGGCTCTTCTAATAGAGGGGTATTTTTGGATTGGTGGAATACACCGCATCCCTAGATACAGTATTGAGAGATCATCTTGATGCCGCAACTGTTTCGAAAGGGACATCTAAGGATATCCAAAATGATTTGCTCGACTCAATGTATAAAATTTGTTTACAACATTTGGCTCTGGAAATTGAGAATTGCTAGTTCCTTTCGATTCAGTCTGACGAGACAACTGACATCACGTGCGTTTCCCAACTGGCTGTGATTTTTCGGTTTGTGAAAGATGGTAAACCTACCGAGAGATTTCACAGCTTTGTACCAATCGTTGATCGCACGGCTTGCGGGATATCGGCTGTACCGAAAGAAGTGTTACAGCCTTACAACGCGAAGTCAAAATTGATAGCTCAAACTTATGACGGCGCGGCAGTCATGAGTGGGTCGAAACATGGTGTTCAAGTTTATATAAAAGAAGATTTTCCTCATGCGCATTTTTTACATTGTTATGCACACCAATTTAACCTCGTCTAAAGCGTCTGCTAGAAGATGGTGAGTTTTCATTTTTTCTCGCTTTTTTCTCCACAATATTCTATCACGCGCATTGCAGTCAAGGCTATGGGATAGAGCGTCTGTGCAGTCGTGTATTTCAGACTTCTGCGATGCTGTATCTCGTATCCGGGAAACAATAAAATACGACGACACGTGGAGTGCTTCTTTACGCCGCGGGCAAACAACGCAGCGTTTGATTTTGTCTGCAAAGGAATGCTGTGACATTCTGGTGAATCAAATAGGCGATCGTCTGCGCACTGAACACCTTGCCGCGTTCTCTTTGATTAACCCCAAAAAATTTTCAAAATTTGCACGTCAATTCCCCATCCATTTGTTGGCTACTGTCTCCAAATTTTACCCCATGATAAACGTGGGTAAATTGGAAAATGAATTGCGATGTATATACACCAATCAAACTTTTTTGAACATCACATCAACTTGCGCGCTCTATGGGTTCCTCATAGATAACACTCTAGTAACTACCTTTGCGGCGTCTGTAAAATTTCTGGACATCATTTTGACGACGCCTATTTCTTCCGCCGACGCAGAGCGAACATTCAGCACGCTGAAGCGTATTAAAACGTATCTCAGAAACACAATGAAGCAAGATATATTAAATTCCTTGGCTGTTTTATCCATTCACAGAGACGTTATTTCTGGGATGCATGACTTTAATCAGCGCGTTATTGAGCATTTTGCTTCCAAGAAACCGCGGCGAAGTTTCTGTTAATATGTCATTGTATTTATCTGGGTAAATATTGCCTTTCCTTTTGAAAGAGGTTTCAAAATAAACTATGTCTATATTTATTAATCCCTTGACTTGGACCGATTTTAAAGACACTTTCTTATCGTTAAAAATTGTCGCTTTTGCCGATTGGTTGTTACCGATGGAATGGTTTTTATACTCATAAAATGATGGGAGAACTTACAGCGCTCCTCCTGTCCCCGTAGATGGGGGTGACTTGGTCCCGCAGTAGCTTGCCCCGGTTGTCAAAATGACCACGCGCCGCCACTGTGAAACGGTATACTGTACTCCTGATTTCCAGCGAAATTTTTTTTCAAAAGGTATAAATTCTATGGGAATGAAATTATAACACCCAGTAATAACAGAACTCCATTTTGAGTTTTATAAAAAATAACCTTCTATATCCTTCATGAATTTCATCACAGATTTCAAGGAAGCATCCACAATGTCTAATTCTCGATGTATCGCGTATAAAATCTTCATATTCACTATACGTCCACATTCCTCGTGGCAACATCAGCCAGTTGGTCAGATCTTTGATATTTTCCCTAAGATCTATAAGAAAATTTGATATGACAATTTAGGCCTAAATATTTGTGAGAATAAATGGATAGTTGTGCGAGTTCGCAGTAGTGTAGTTCTAATTATAATGTTTAAACGTAAAAAAACTTTTTCTAAAATACGTTCATTTTTCGTTGCGGTCAGCGAATGCTCCATAAAAATGATAGAAAATAAAATTTTCAAAGATAATAAGTATTATAAATATTAAATTAATTATTGCATAATTCTATTATTCCGAGCCCTGATATTAAATATTTAATTTACAAAAAATAAACGAAGTTGCCTTAACAAAAGTTTTACAGACGTTGGGTCGACTTACCTTTTAAAACAGTGATTAATTTCCCAGGTACAGATAGATTTTCAGGCAAAGATCCTAGAATATTGGCCACGATTTCTAGGTTATGGATTCTTCGCTCGTAGACACGAATTTCCGAATAGCTATGTTCGAAAATATTCTGTCAAAGAATAAATTTTATGAACGGCAATAAAAATCTCCTCATCGGATTTTCAGTATTTAATTTTAAAAAGTAAGTTCGCAACTTTCAGCATTCATCTTGTTTTCCTAATAAACATTGGTTAGATTGTAGCATATATATAGGCTTCGCCATTTTACATTATATAATGTTATTGAAATTGCTTCCTAAGTAATATAATTTCCCTTTTTATTGTATTTATGAGACTATTTTTTTAGGCTCATAGGTTGTGTATCACATTTTTCACAGAGTTATGAGGTGAAACCATTTGTAATTTTTTTATCAATCAATTAGAATCTTACACACTATCATGTTAATAGTTAATTCCTAGTATTACTGCAGACCGATTTTGTTCGTTATCGAGCAGTGTAAAACTTTTGAAATGACTCACAGACAAGTACAATTTAGCATATTCTAAGTTTTAAATGGTGAAAAGAAAAGTATATATTAAAAATGTGGATTTTTTTTGTATTATTCCATATATATATTTATACGCAAATAAGATACCATTAATTACAATGAAACAGGGTATATTGTGGCAGTTTTATCACCTCATTGAATTTGCAAATATACCAATAGTCATCTGCAGCCAGAAAGCCTTCCTCTACCATTGATCCCACAATATTCAACTTCATCTCAAACATATAATGTAATTCTCGCTTTCGGTTTAAAGATAACTCGTTAAATTTGCTCATTTCTTGCTTCACCATACCCATGTCACTGAAATATATATGAGAAGAAAATTCCAGATTTCTTTAATGAAACAGGGTCCGTTATCAGCTGCATCGATTCATTACCAGTTTTGAACTGGACTGGGTCGCGACAGCGGACGAGATTCGTTCATTGCAATTTGATTGAGATTGTATTTTTTCTCTCCATGAGTAATATGAAGATTATAAAGTAAAATTGTTTTTGGGGTTGTTTCAAAATATTAAATTATTAAATCAACAACACTGTATGTGACAAGTAACGAATTCGTAGAATTTGAGCTATGAAATTCATATACACTTATTAATCCATTATGTTAGATTCAAATGCAATATACCTTGCTATTTTTTTGATGATATTTCCATATCTTGAATTCCTCAATATGGGTTTGCTACATTTTGGACAAATTTTGTGCTTTAGCTCTGAACCAACCTCCGGGAAATCCATCCAGGTGTCGAGTACTTCGCAAGAAAAAATGTGATCACAGTCTTCCAGTTGAATCAGTCTGATCAAAAAATTGAAATCAATGAATATATAATAGAATACTAGCCATTTAACGAAAACATAAAACCAAGAACTGGATAAATTATTATTTCAATTGAGGAATGAATTAGCAGAACCGACTGAGTTGGTCATACAACTTACTGAGAATTCACATTTCCTCCGCTTTCCGCTATTATTTCGAGAAATTTTTTTCCATCACAAATGGAGCAAACATCTGGACAAGCTTCTCCACATACACCGCAACATTTGTGTTTACATCTCAGTCTTTTTATACACGGTTCGTTGCATCTCGGGCGGTCACATGGTTCACCACAAAGCTTGGTGCATTTATAATGAGGGCATTGCCATTGGCATTGTTGTGCGCATGGGCTGCATAGATACCAACACTCCCTTTCGCATCTGCTATGAGAGCATCTTAATTTACAATCTTCTTTGCACACAAAGAATTCCGTGCCACACTTTGATTCAGTCGAGTGACCACACCACAATCTCCGTTTCTGACGTTTCATGCATGGTAAGTGGAGTCGACCCTAGTGAAAAAATGATGCATGAATATGTAAAGTGTAGGCCTATTTTTGATTACTTGGACTAGAAAACATATAAATAATATTTGTAAAAGTATTGTAATATTATAAATATATACTTTTTGCTTTCTTCATATATCAGCACAGAGACTCGGCAGAAATGACATCATGTATAAACTATAAAGTCCGGATAAAAAATTTGTTATTACCTGCAAACATCTTCCGCAAGTTCCGCCGCACACGTGACCGCACTTCAATAATCTGTCACACGGAACTGGACAACGCCTAATTCCCATAATTTTTTCTTTGTAGCAAGGAATAAAAGGTTCGTGTCCACACAAAAGTTTTACTGAAATGTTAATCAAGTGTAAAATAATAATACAAACTACGCTACATCGAGTATGTGTAGTTTATTGAAAATAAGAAAAAAAAGTCCGACATCAATGATATGAAATAGAAGACAATTAGTTGTACAGAACTACTGTAACAGGACGGACAACTTTTCGCTTCGCAAAGATCTCCGATTGAAGATGCCGATATAGACACGACATTGTGGTAAACAGCCGTGATGTACAGCCAGAATAAATTCTTCCAAGAAAATATAAATATATGTTATATAGTAGATTTTCTGGTTCCCCAATATAGACAATGGAAATTCGATAGCAATTGGAATAAACTATATTTTGAAAACATAAGTACTTCTACTCACTTTTTATCTTATGTTTGCAAATAATTTCTTCTGGTGGTAGGTGACACTCGACATGTTGTACATGACCACAATTTGGAACTTTCTGTTAAAAGACCGAATTTGTGAAATTATTAAAATAATAAGATGATATGTTTTAATTTGACTTATTCAGTACCATATTTATCAGTTGTGAAATTATCTTGTTAAATGTGAATCCGAGATTCGGATTTGTATTATGACAAAAACATAGGAATAATTAAGGCAGACGAATGTACGAAACCAGGCCCGGCAAAGCAAGAATACGTCTGGAAGGTTTAGTAATTGGCCCTTTCCATATCAGGCCACGAATATTAACAGGTCGCGAGATGTTGACAACTCTAATCACTGCTCAGCCCCATGCGTCCATGCATATGGAACGATTATCTCGTTTGCTATTCCAACCCCTGTAGGAGTATCCATCTAACCAATTCCGTCCCATATTGAAGCCACCGGAAGTTTTGTTAATTGGCATTGAATAATTGAAGCTTTGTGGCGTGATACTATGATCTTTTATTTTAACGAAAATTTAACATCATAGTGCATTTCCACGAAATTGCTATGACGTTATAAATATAAAAATATGTTGTGACATTTCAAATGGATTTTGAAAAAATACAGCTTTGCAGTAACAGGCAAGATACGAACACTCGTGATGAAATTAAATTTGCTAATGATTTTAAAAATGTCAAAAGGCCCAAACATGTAATAAAAATTCACGGTACCAGAAATCGTGAAGCTTTAATACACGTTTATTTTTGCGGCGAAATAACGATTAATCATGTTGAAATTACTACTTGGACCGAATATCGCAATTTCGGATTATTCGCCCATGCGAAAATCGTTTCAGAAAGGTTCTATTCTAATGATCGATTCTAAAAAATAATTTGCCATCACAAACAGAATTTTGCCAAGCTTCCTCACAAACAAAGCGTCTTACTAACATCTTACTAACATATATGTATATATATATTATATATATATATTAAGAATTGTGTGCATGGCATAGGTTTAAATGACTATTACGTAAAATCAGTTACTACACCATGTACTATGGTACGCGGTAAATTATATTTTGCTATATAGATATTAATTATATGATAACATTTATATTTTGTTCTTTTTTTGTTAGGATCAACTTACTTTCGGTATCAAAACCCTACATGGCCCACAATCCTCTTGACATCTTTGTGTGCAAGGGTGTTTTCTTTCGCACGATCTTGTGCATCTTTCGTAACACTTGACGTTGTCGTGGTTGCCCGGGTGGCAGTATTTCGTTTTACATGAATGGCCACATGGCAAACGGGCGTTACATAGATCCATGCAGCCACCTACGGAAAGTAAAAATAGTGAATTTTTATTTATGAATTCGTCACATGAGTAATTTATATCAAACGATTTCAGACGTTTCATGAAGTAACATAATTTTGTTTATACTGATTACCGGTATTACTACCATGTATCAGAGTTACCCGTCATTATTTATGTTGTCACGCTCTGCTGCCCACGGAGCGGCAGTCCAGGTTTTTATTACATGGGCTTGCACGACATTCATTTACAACTAGTGTGAAGGAGAGATTGTGGCGGTATTTGAGTGTATTAGCGTTATATATTATTAGTTTTATATGAAGTGTAGGGGCTAGGTGTGAGTCGTCATAGGCAAAAGTTCTGATCTATTTTTAAGAGTATTCTTTTAGGGTCTTTTTTAGTTTCGCACCACTAATACTTCTAGTGGGCGCCGCATAGCCATTTTTGCATAATATGGTATTCGTATTCCTGACCCCCACCTGACTATGCAATCTAAAAATTGCAATCACGTCATAGAGCTTGCCAAAGTATAGCTACAATCGCCCGAAATGGCATCTGAAACGACGACAACGAACTCATTAACGCCAGTGATCTTTCTCATATCGGGATCGTTGCGTCCACCGAATTGGAATCTCTGTGGTTGCGACGAGAAAACGAGAGAAATAGCTTGCTCGATTCCGGGTGATAGTTTGCGCGTTCTGGACTATCATCCGTATACTTTGGAAGGCATTATTACGTCGCAGTGACGTGATTGTTGGATGACTTAGTCAGATGAGGATTAGGAATGACATGTGCAAAATTTTTGAGCCAGGCCAACTAGAAATACATGTGGTGCGACGTGCGATCCTTTTGTGCTGTTATGATCATTCAATACAAGCCAAGAGGAAAAAAATTATTCTGATATATACAACTTATTTGCCATATGTAAAATAGTTTCAAACTAGATTGCCTTATATACATACAATTAGCAAAATACCTTCCGGCACGTTGTCGAAGTCTTCAGCATTTTTAACAGGAGTACAATGTTCTGGATGTTTTTGGCATTTAAGCACCAGACATTCTCCAATACACCCTGATTGTTCCAATTTCAATGCAATATGCTTCCACAGCGTACTCTTTTCCTTCAACAACTTAGAGAAACATTTGCATACTTTGAATATTTGCAGTGAATTATATAAATAGTTAAAAGATAACATTCCCCGTTTTTCAAGTTTTAAACATTATCATATATATGTTATTTTCCCCCTCATATAATTTTTTCGCTTCAGATATTTAATAACACTCAACGATTCAAATTTTGCTAGATCTCAACAAATTAATATTTGCTGTGAAGTGATCTGCACGGGCTATCATCAAAGTTGATGTTACTAAAAACACTGAGTACCTCTATATCTCCGATGCAATAAAAAGCATTCTTAGCACGAGAAAGTGCTACACATATTCTGTTTTCAATACGAAGAAATCCAATGTTCCCCTGTTAGAAACACAAGCTTGATGAGTTATTTTAATTAAAGGTGATCTAGTTGCAAAGAAAAATTTCAATTTTATACATCGACGATCATAATACTCTACTTGTGCATAAATTAACAACTGAATCTATCAAAAGATTCAATTCAACACAGGGAAATTACTACAAATGAAGGGAGTTGATGACATGGAAACTGGGAATGACGTAATAATTCTGAAAAAAATACCAACGTGAATGCTGAGTCTGTTCCGCGCCGGAGTTAACATTCAAGTCTCGTGTCAACCCATACCTCAAATACCGGTATTATTATTAGCGCGCCAATCATCTCGCGTAACCATTTAACAGTACTTGTATCGATTTCACAGGGTGGAAAAAAAGCACTGTATTTAAGCACTTTACCTCGGAATTACTTCTAACTAGAGACAAGAGGATGATGTCATTTTCTTCTCCTTGGTATCCATCGACTGGCGTCACTTTAACATCTTTGCATGAATCATCTAAAACCGAACGGAATGCCGATATCTGACCAGCGTACATAGCCAAGATTGTTATTTGTGATGGTTTATATTGCTGTTGTATCAAATATTTACAAAGTCTTGCTAAAAACTTGGCTTCATACTTGTTTTTCTTACTTTTTCCTTCTAACATGTTTTCTTCCGGAATGTTGTGCGACACAAAGAACACTGATTTAGTGAGACCTCTCATATTTTCCCACCCGTTCCTCTTTGAAACACTGGAGTGATCCTGCAAATCGGAGTAAATTTGTGGCCGTAACAAATCAGCAATCAACGGTTGCATGCGATGTTGCGTTGAAAGTGTAACATGTGGTACGTTTTTAATCATTCTTTCAAAAAGCGATATCTCCAGCTTATACTTCTTCGCCAATTCGTACACCGCTGGAGAAGGCTTAAGTTGTTTATGATCTCCTATCAAAATCAGATGCTGTGTAGTTTTAGGCAAAGCAGCGACAATGTGCGCTTCCAGAACTTCTGCTGCTTCCTCCACAATCACAATTTTAATAGGCAGGCGATTGATTAGTGATCTATACTTTGCAGCTCCTGTCGTTGTTAGAGCAATCACATCACGACTTTTTACAATTTCTTCATCCTCATCCTCACGATGCTTCGTCAAATCATCCCGACTGTGTGTATTCTCCGCCAAAATATTGTCGCGATTGATTCGTTTACTAGCACGCCATTTCTCTACCCAGTTTCTATAAATTGGTGCATTCAGATCAATTGAGATGATTATTTATCTTTGTAGTAATACTTACATAATGAGTTTGCAAAATAAAGAAGTAATATGTATACCTGTACAAACACCATCTCTCTTCAAGTTCAAGTACATGAAGATCGTGAACATTGGCTACTTCATAATCATTCATTGTCGATGTTTTGTCAAGCTGCCTTTGAATTTTTTGTAAATCGCGACGATCATGCGATTGGGCTTTATGCAGCATCTTTCCTAGTTAAAAAAGAACATGAAATGAACTTTACTGATGTGGACTCGATTCACCATTTAGCAAAAAGCGATTATCTAGTGCTTATATAACTTACTGAAAACATAGATTCCATCACTCAGTTATGCCAGTGAGCATTTAAACACCACAGAAACATGTTTAAAGAATAATTAACTAGGAAAAACAGGTCATTGTAAAAATATTTTTCAGTCATTGTCCGAATTGCATTGCAAAAATATGGCTTCAATGATTAAAATTGTAGAATTCACCCGACCTTTAGTGGACAGAAAAGAATGCTGCGATTTGCAATTTTTATATTTTGCAAGCTTTTCAATTCGCCACATTGAGATAACTTGCGTGATACGTTACAAAGGTTGCGTGGGTAGGGCAAGTTGGATTTTTTATAAATTGTAGTTTACTTTAGTCACTAAATAGGGCTTTTCTCGCCCTAAAAAAATGCGATAGATATTTCTTATAGAGACAGGACTTATTTACAGTACAACCAACCCAACAATAATAATAACATTTTTGAAAGTCTCGAATTTGTGTTCAAAATATAGTGATAATGTCGAGCATTGGCATATTCTTGGGCTTTCTTATGAACAGAAAACGAGATTCACATATACATTATATATATGTATATACATATTTATTTCATATATACAACCAATTATGAAAACTATAAAATACTTGACCAATTTAAAATCGGTGAAAAAATCTTTACAATTTCGACTTGAAGAAATTACAAAAATATATATAAAATAAAAGTAATAACTTACGTAGGATACCGGTATCTACCGAAAGATACCTTGATTTCAATTTATCAATATATTCGTCATCTTTTTTTTTTTCAGACTGTCTGCCATGAAATTCTAAACAACGAATTACATAAATTATAATAAATGTAGATATTTATATTTTGCTATTTAATGGCTGACTTTTGTTGTTAAATCGATAAAAAAATGTGATAAAAAAATTACCACCGTATTCTAAATTTCTTCTATCTTCTATAATTGACGATTCCTCCATAATATGGGCATGTGCCGGGCTTCTTTGATCTGCAAATGTGTTATTCGAAGCGTTCAGAACAGAACAATGATTTTATAAAATTTGTATAATATTTTCTAAAGCGGAATAAATATTAAAACAAGAGAGCTATGCTCAAATATATGGACACGTTTACCGATTTCAGAAAAAGCACCAACATTTAAAGACATCAGTTATAACAGTGAATGCAAGCCCCTAGTTCAGTGTAACCGCGCTGTGTTACGGTACCGGAACTGCCATATCTTTTGAAGTCTTGTGACAACGTGAATTGAAATGGCAAGAGGGTCCGACTCACAACTGTAGTAACACCAACGATCCGAGTCACTACTGTAATATAACACTAAGTACGGCACTATTCGCCATTCACCATTCCTCAAATCTTAGCAAAGCCAGGATTTCATTACGAACCACCGACGTTCGATGGCACGTGATCAAAAAAACATGAAGAGGAGTGCCAGTATACACATCACAAGGTGTCGCTATTTTTTATTCCGACACATAAAAAACGAATCTCTTGAAGTCCACAGAAATTTTTGAAATGAGTAAAAGTAATAGCCTTCTAGCGAAAAAAAAATCAATCTTTAAGCACTGAAAATTTCGAAGCAATTTGTCCAGTATTGGAGGAGAAAAGCGATTTTATCATGACGAAAAAGAATATGAACAAGAACAACAACATAATATTGAAACGATCGTTATGTAAATTCACGTGTCCAATAATGGGCTATGTTTCATATTTTAATATGACTTGCCTTTTTGTTTACTTGACGATCGCTTCAAGTCTTGGAGACGTCTTATCATGTGATTTGGCATTCCAAGCCAACGTAGAAGTGATGAATCTTCAGTATCCCCGGCTGGAAAATATCGAATTTAGACTTCCGTTTTGTTTATTGACCTATTCTTGTACATTGAAGTGCTACCGAATAGAAGTAATCTCTTCAAATTTCTATTTTCGCTCTTACTTTTAATTTTCTTTCTAGTGTTTGATGACGATATTAATTGTATCCTAATGAAAATTTATGTGGTGAAACAATTTTATTTGAAGTCGGAACTTATAATTCACCCAATCACAAAATGAGAATAATTTAAAGCTTTCAAGAAGACTTCCCATCTTCAAATACTAAATAATGATCTTTATATTGAGAAATATTATATGTCCAATAGTAAGAGGGAAGCGCAATTTTTGTCTACACAAGATTATCTACACCCCACGGTCACCAGTCGCCACCAACGACAACATAAACATAATCTAGACAAAAGATTGTTAGGTCCATTTTTTCAATGTAGTTGAAGGCAGTGACTTAGAATTGTGTTGCCATTCACAATTAAAAGCTAATGCATCAACCTTATGCTATTTTCAGAAAACGTGCGGCTATAACAAATTACATTTTTACATTCTGTGGCCAAGTTTTATGAAACAATCCTCACAGGAACTCAAATGATTGTTTTACATACCCTCTACGAATTTATCTTTATTCGTCAGATTATCAAGATTCAATCGAAATAGTCAAAAAGTTTTCAAATAGAGTTTGCAAGCAACTGGCATGGAGATGGGAAAAAAAGATATATATATTTTGTCACCAAAACAAAAAAATTAGCTCTTGTTAAATGCTCTTATTAAAAACTTTATTTTTTTTTTAGTCTGAACTGAAAATGCAAACATCTTTGAAAGTATGTATCTATTTGCTTTAATGAATTAATAGACGCAAAATTTCACGTTCTCTGTACTGACATAGCTGGGTGTAAAGCACATCAGGAATAAATTCTTTGAGTTGATCGACTTTCAGCACACCTAGAAGAGAAACTTCTATTTGAAAAGTACTTTCTTGAAAAATACTCTCGCCATACTTCAGGGCACCTGCAAAATAAAAAGTAATTTTTGGAGAACTTTCAACGTGACAAATGCCAAAGTTTGTATGTCTTGGAATTGATTAGAAGTATATATAGACGGAGATCCCAATCTTTAATATAACGAAACAGGCGAATGCAATTGAATGAGGTTCTAAATGATTTGGAGACAGAAGATCAATTTTATCATTTTTTTATTTTCAAATACTTGTGTATACCGAATTACAGAATGTTCTGTTTAACGAGTTATTACTTGCAGAATAACAATATATTTACAGCAGAAAAAAAATTAACAAAAGAATCCATATATCAAATTAATACCAACCTATAGAAGAAACAATTGAATTCTCGAATCGAGATTTCTTTTTAGTTTTCATTTCTTTTTTAATAGATGCAAGCGTATATTTTGCAACAACGTCGCTGTTGCACCGACCTCCTATTCTAATAATATTTTCGCAATATTCTTCAATACTTTCCACAAATTGGTCGAGTGCATGATTTGTGTAGCATACGATCAAAATAGGAGAGTGGGACTCATGGCGTCTGAAATTAAACAATACCAAGTTTTGACATCAAAATATACAGCAAATTAACATTCACAGCATTTTTGCTTCAACCAAAGAACATTCCTTCTTGATACATAATGTGCAATTTGGATATTATAACAAAACACATTTGTGGATTTTCATTTTGTAATTTCAATAGTATATGAGTCAATGGCTAATTCCGAAATTTAAAGGAAAAATAATACTTGGTAGCAAAATGTATCAAAAGATACCTATATTAGAAAGTAGTAGGAGTGGAAAAAGTTTAAAACACTGATTGATGATTGAATGATTTTACTCAAAAACTAGTCGATAAATAATTTTGAATTATTTGGTTTCACTTTTAAATCACACAACTACCCCTTATGATAACTTACCGCCACTGTTTTGCATTAGCTAGTAAAATTTCCATGATTCGCACACCAACGTATGTCTTTCCTGTTCCAGGTGGGCCTTGTATAACGGCAAATTCTTTAGTCAAAGCCAATTTCAATGCATCTGCTTGTACTTGGTTGAGATTAAGTTTACTTGCATCGGGCCATTCACTATCTTTTAGCAGTCTAACCGTTTTCCATTTGTGTGGAACTAGAGAGAATTATGCGTTAGTACTTCTAACGAAATAAAAACAGAAAGTTATGTCAAATTATGCGTTTTAGATTAATTTTAATTTATTCTCCATACGAGATTTTCCAAAGCTAGGTTACTAGCCCTCAATTTAGCCCTCAAAGTGATCTCAAAGCATGATATTTATGGTGTCATATATATACCATTACGTATATTATCAGTAATTTGTAATTTCTTACTTCCAACCTTAGTTGTTCATTCTTGAATTGCTCTGATGAATTTGCATATAATATTAAAGATTAAACTTTTCTATGCAGCTAATTTGATAAATATCTAATGGTTTTATTCCTTGCTATTTCAGAATGAACTTGCTTGAATGAACTAGATACCTTCGGTTTTATCTTCGTCTGAAGAGTTGGTACAATATGTCTTGATCCTATAAGATGTAGATTTGTTCATGTACTTCGGACGTTTCACGTGTTTGGAGCATTGGACAATATATCTATCCAAAGGAACTGTTTCTGTTTCTGAATATTACAACGAATATATATATATATTAATATTTTCATGACGAGAATGACCGCCCATTTTTTTTATGAGAACGTCGTCTTGTAGGCGGATGACAGAAGCTCCACCCGTACCTATTTCTACACAATGTTTGGGTTTCCTATGATAGGGTATTTTAGATAGAAATTGTGCGTTTGAACTGCGTGCGTTCGAATTTTCCGCCAATCATTTTTTCAGTTCACAGAACCACTGCAACCAATGTATTTTCTTCCTGTAAATTCAATAATTGGTGAAGGTCGTAGATTTTCTACCTCAAGTTTACCTCTTAGTGCCGACAGCACATGTGTATAGGCTTCGAAAAACGCTTCCGATTCAACCATAGTATAAATCGCATTGTAATCAATGTTATCTTTAATCCTTACTAGAATAAAAAAATATATTAGATTAGCAAATAGGGCTATTTTGCAATTACATGAAAACAGTAGAATAACTAATGCCTTCTTAAATTTATGTGAGAATTAAATCGAATGACCCCCGATCGAGTTAGAGATTGTAACTCGGTTTTGCACTCCGACGGTGACATTCAATGGCAATTGTAATTGGAAATTTGAGACTTAAATTGATGAGACGTCAACACGTTATAATAGCTTCTCTAGTTGAGATGAAGGCAGTGTGTACGCTGTGTGCACGACAGTTACCCGACTCGGCACAATTTAGTTCCATCACACTCAAAAATCAAGCGGAACGGAAACTTATGCATGTTTCATCACGATAACCACACATAAAAAGTATATATTAAAAAAATGCTTATCATTTATCCTCTGTCCCACCGCGAAAAAAGATACAAGTATATAAAGATAAAATTAAAAGATCAATTTTAGATCGATTTATCTCTTGTTAGAAATCCTAGTATCCAAAACCAAATTTTAATTAGACTAAATTTTAATTTAATTATTACCCGTTGTCGTGGTTTGTGAATTCCGCAGAAAGAATGGATTTACCGGTATATTGTACGGATTCTTTGATTCATTTTCGTAAAGAATTTTTATCCACAATAAACCTTCGACCAAGTCTTTTGGATTTCTGTCCACAACCACAGCAAACACAAGATCTTTCTGTAATAATGAGGAAACAATAACTAAAATTGGCTGAGCTCTATATCCTCATGCAACATTGAATTCAAATTTAACTTACTTCAAACTTATCTACAGTCTTTGAGAGGCAAAGCAAGTTTCCACTAATTAATCGTTTTGTATTTGTCCACGATACATTCTTGAGATGTTCAGTGCTGAATTTAACTCTATATAATAATCCTATAAAAGTTTATATAGTTTATTTGACTGAAAATGTTCATATGGGTCGCTGGCCCTCATTACTTCACAGGTGCGGCGTTACTGGTACTATGTGATTTTGCAGAGCGCTGGGACTTGATTTTCGATTTGATTGATACTTTTGAGCGACTAGATTCCAGTGTATGTCGTAGTGTAGGCTAGCGATACTGAGATTAATCATTGAACTTCCGTGTTCATATGTTTGAGCATTGCTCATTTGTTCAAAATCAGCTAGCAATTTTACAGAAGAGTGTAATTAACGGAATGGTTGAAATTGGTACGAAAGTATATCTGCACACGGAAAAAGTAAGGATTTATCACAGCGATAAATAAATGGGGATTCCATTGCAAAAATTCCCATCAACATTTATAAACTTTTTTTGAAAAGTGATATAATTAGCAAAGTAATTTCACTATTTGATGGATAATTTTAAAATTGGTTGGAAATCATAGGCACTTCAGCAGAATAGACCAAATTAGTTACATAGGTACAACCTCCATTTTGTTGCTCAAGTGGGTAATGGATAAATGTAATACTAGACGGATGGATCGCTTTTGCACTAACTAACTGGTGCAAAACTGAATTGTTGGTTTCGAAATTTAAGTGTCGTGTGGGCGTTCCATATTAAAATCAGATCAAACTTATTACTTATCATTGATTAGATTATTGCACGCTTTGGTGCCCACTGCTAAGTCACATTCCTGTGTGAGTCGCATAGTCTACCGGTACTGCAGTTAGGCCAGATATTGGAATTCATGCTTTCTCATATCCATATAATTTATGTCAATTGATTCCTTTTCTAGATAAGGGCTCGATTTCATTCATACACGATGTGGATTATACAAAATGCAAATGTGCAGTTTTACCTTTCATAGTTGGTTTGATATAAGCAAACTGAACTCCCGTATAGTATTTCACTTCGGAATCACTGCGTCGGCAACCTGAATAAAAACTTGTAGAAGTTAGACGTAGTAGGTATGTATAACGTAGTAGTATATATTTACGGTATAACCATTCTCTGCTCTTTTGAACAACTTATGCTCCAAACGTGGGCACGGTGGCCTAGTCCATAAGATATATGTCAGAGTGGTAGGCTAAAGACCCCGCGTTCAGTCTACACATCCTCCACCTCGATCAGAGTTTATAAAAAATTGATAAATATGAGGGAACAATGCCAAACCGAAAAGAATCCAGTCTATTCTAAAATAGTGTATTTTTTATATATCGGTGCTGTTTGTCTAAAATTTTGCTTGTGGGTGCAAGTGTGAAAACAACCATAAAAAATTTGATTTAATTTAGTTTTAATAAGTGAAAATTTATCGGCAGTGTAGCATATTTGTATAGACGTATCTACTTTGGCGTCCTTAATTTTGATTATGATGCAATATTAGAACGAGTGAAGTTTGCCTTGCGTTTAAATTGTGCTGAATTAGGTTTCTATTGTATGGTGACCGTACATTTGAACCTATGTACATTTGAACCCATGCGTATATCCACGGGTTCAATCTATTTGCGGGTGCTAAAACCCATGGGTTAGGGTTAGTATGTGAAACAAAAACTATCTATCCGTGAAACAAAAAAAAATCCATAGGTGCAATGGCATACAGGTGCAATTGTCATGGGTTCAAATGTACGTGGGTTCAAATGTAATAGATCCCTACTGTATACGTGCCATTTGTCCGACTGACGTATATCAGATTAATCATTAGTGTGCCGGCTCGATACAGACAACAATAACTTGATAAGCATTTTCTGACAAAGTAAGCCGTTGCCTTCTTAAATAAGTCTCCTTTTGTGTGGTATTAAATTTTACATTCATTACGTATTATCTCATAGAAGGTTCTCGACAATCATTATAGATATAAGCATGCACAATCTAATAAATTCCAACCAGTCACAAAATTTGGCTCAACTCTTACCACCGTTAAGTTTACAAATTCCATCTCTCAGGGGCCGTATATAATCTTCTCTCATCAGTCGAAACTGAACATCCAAATAATGTTCATCACTAATGCAGATAAAAATTCAGTATCAATTGGGAAAAAGGGGAAAGTATTCCCGTCAAAATTGAAGAATCCGTATTTTACCTCTACAGCACTAAACAATAAACAAATTCTTTTTCTAAGTGTTTTTATGAACTGTAACAACATACCATTTTCTATTGAATTCATTCAAAATGTAATATTTGTTTTCAGAAGTTCAAAAAATTTCGAAAATACTCAATGCTAAAATAAATTTTATCAAACAATTTGGTTTCATTACTTATCGTAAGGCATGTCCGTATTGTTTGCCCTGACGAATGGCTCTTCATCGGGGAGTAAATCCACATTCGTTCGAGGTATTACCGGTATGTCCCGAAAATTGTCCGGAGGAATTTTGTGCCGGCAAAAGCTATACGTTGCCGATCCAAAATCCCTGGCAAAAAATATATATAGGCTATGTCTTGTTATTGTTGTTTTCCTGGTCAACGAGATTTTTTCATATTAAACAAACAAATCTATTTACTACTTATGAAATAGTAGCCCACACATAAAATATCATCATTACTGATTCGCTCAACATTTCATGCGAAACAAGAACTTCGGAAATATGATCCTTAGCTGGTATTACGAGCAACTAGCACTCCGTCTTTCAAATATTTTAATAATGTGTAGACCCTATACAAATTACTATTTGTGCATTTCCTACGCAGAAACAGAATAAAGTTAATAAACAGATTTGTCAGCCGACAGATCAAATTGCTCAGTGCAAAAAAAAAAAGATTCTATATTGTTACGTGATAATTGGCGCCGCATTGTAGTTGGAATGACCATTATCTTTGTTTTGTATTTCAGTTGACGAGTCACTTTCAGTATCTGTCGAATACTCACTTTCGTTGTCGGATGAACTAAAATAAACATGAGAAATCAACCAATTGAGTATTCTATACAATGAGAAATGCCAGTAACTAACTCCATTTCCAAAAACAGAAATTTTAACATTACCACTCTGTTTGTTGCCGAAAACGTTTAAAATACAACTTCGATGTTGAATAATTTGAAGTATTCTTCAGGCTGGGGTTTGTTCCGTCGACTTTTGCATCGGATGAGCTGAAAGTAAATCGGTCCCATAGTCAGGTTTATTCCCCTAGAGGTAGTTGCAAGTAACATGTAGTGTTGAAAACAGTTAATTCAATACACAGTGTTACTGGGTCGAGAAGTACATGGGTACCAAAGATGGTTAATAAAGCAGCTAAACAACCAAAGTTATAATATCTAATTTAAATGTATAAGATTGGGAATTTTTAATTTCCAGAGTACGTTTGTTATTGGAAAGTATATGACTTTGGCACCAAGTATACTTAAAGTCAGTATTTTGCATATTTTCACGGGAGCCATTCGAATTTCCAGCCGGGCGGGGGAACCGGAACCGAAATTCTGAAATCGTTGGTCAGAATTTCAGACAATCTATTTAATAAGGCTTGTATACGGCGAAGATTTCGTAATCCAAATTTACTCGGCCTTCTAATGAATGTAAAATTGGACCACAAACAGAACCTTCAAAAATTAAAAAAAATTGTTGATCTGCGTGTTAAAATTTGCTTATTTTTATAGATGTGATTACGCTCTATAAGTTACCTGATTTTGAATGGATTCAAAATCCCGTAATCGAACTTTCTAAGCTTTTTAGGAGGCTCTTCATCACTTATAATTTCTCCATCAGATAGGCTGTGATAAAAAAAATAACATTATAAACCCCTTAATATATATATATTTTAACAAGAAAAATTTTTACTTGGTTGATATTTTCCGTTCCTTGACAGAGACTGTATCGAACTCCAATCCATTGCGTTGAGGCAGAGACAAATCATCCATAATATGGCAGTTGTCGCATTCAAAAGCGTTTTTTTTTTCACTGAAATGTCAGTTTATATAGTATTTAGTAATCTACTTTTATTTTCCAACGGTTTAAGACCACTATATAGCAGTAACATAGAAAGGATACGATAGTGGTGATTTGATGCTGCAATGAATCGAGCAGTGGGTTTCAACCTTATTGGTGACGCGGAACACAAATACAAGATTTTGAACGCTCGGAGAGCTATTGTACAATTGAATATGTGCATACTTTTGGTTATGTGATTATGTTTATTATTATAAAATATGCCAAACAGCAAAAATTGGGCGCGGAACACTTGATGATCTTTCTCAGAACAGTTGTGAAACGCACTTATTATATGAATATATTATACTAGTGTATTTGATTATATTCAAACAATAAACATATATAATACCATCGATTCTTGCATTTTAAGGTAACCCAGCGAAACCCCTGGCCTGTACTGACTAAATACTACACCCCCCTCTTTTCAGCAAGTCTTTTTCATGACCATTCTGCACTTCCACTATTCTTGATTTAAACGATTGACTAAAACCCCGACGTTTCCTTACTTACTGTCAATAATTATTTGTCCAAATAAATCAACCGAGATAGATGGAAATGCTCTTGGATATTTCGACAGCGAAGTGAGTCCGTAAACTAGAGAGATTATTTGAGAGATATCAGTTGGTACATTTTATCTATTGTTGTTAGGATCAAAAGGCACGAGTAAGCGTCGTATAAGGTCATTAAAAGAAACAAATTGACACACCGCCAACCTTGGGCTGGCTACGATCTTGTGGCGGAACCCGCGGTTTCCGCGGAACACTGGCTGAAACAGTGTCTGATAACATTTATCTTTGCATTCCGGTTCTATTTGTGTGCTCTACATTCTACAATGTCCTCTGCCTTTGAATATTGATATTACACAGTATTATATAAACACCATAAAATATGTCACACATTGCTAGTAAACCATTATGTCTCTCGGTGCCAATGTACATTACCGATTCGAATAAGGTCTCGTGTCTATCATACTATTTAGGTAAGTATGGTTGGGCTAAGCGAGTCCCTTCAACCTGGGAGTTTCTTAGGTCTATTATGTGATGTTATTTTGCTTTCTGCTTGCTAATTCATTTTGCTTATTTAAACAAATTCACGAGTAATTTATACGCTTACGCCAAATAAAATGCATTTCAGATCGCATTGTTGTAACACAAAATAAAAAGGGTGTTAGCCTAAGGTGCATTTCATCAACACATTTTTCAAAATTCAATTTTGCTGAAAGCAATAAAATATTACTCAAAGCGTGTTAATCGCAACTCGAAAGCAAACGAACTCAAACTTTTAGAATCCAATGTAGGAAGTCACAATAGAACAACTAGAACAATATTCAGGTTTTAATACATGATAATGGGTTTTTTAAGATGAATAAAAAAGCATTGCGCCCGCTGAAAAAGTTCGCATATGATGTGCTAGATATGATAAAGTTCAAGGGGCCACGAAGATTGCCTTCGATCGAAAAGGAACTCCATATTATCGAACTACGGCAAAAGTACAACCAATAAAGAATAAACATAATATATAGGTCGATTATATAGTTAATTGAAACAAGTCAATACTTTAATCTGGACTTTGTGAATCAAGGCCGTCTGAACTTGAATTGTGAATCAAGGAGTCGATTGAAAAACTTGAAACGACGACTTAAAAATACAATTAAACGACTCTCAATGATTTCGCGTCGGGGGAACTCCCGTAAATGAAACCAGTGTTGAAACTATGCTATAAACACTGTTATACCGCAATTGTCCCACCCTCGATCAGTGCGCAGCACAATCAAACCAAAGCGTTTGAAAAATATTCAATCTTTTGTAGGAAAACAAAAGGAGGCGTGAGATGTGGTTTCAGTAAATACATTACAAAACGGCATTTGTTTTGGTAGGTTACAGTATAAACAACAAGATAGCTCAAATATATGAACACTAAAGTCAAACGAAGCTTATATGGAAGTGTTCCAATGATTTAAAAAATAGCATTTAGGTTGAATTGAAGTGGATCGTTTGAATCCATAGGTCCCGGGGAAATCGAAAAAATCATATTAGCCTCACATCGACTCCTCCCATCTTTATGTACCAACAATTTGGAATATATTGGTTAATTTTTTTCGGGGAAAAGAGATCTTTTCCAACAACAACAACTATTCAACAGCACGATTCGAATACACATTTCGTGTTCAAAAAGTGCAAACATAAGAACAACAACATGACGTTATGCGGAAGATAAACTGTATATCCACAAATAAAGGATTGTATAAGGAGCCGCTGCATCGGAATTTCCCAGTCGATGAATATGTATTTTGGAACTTTTTGAAAATTTTGGCTGCGCCTCTGAATATATATTCAATTTTGCAATACGGTATATAATTTCAAATTAAATTCATTGTCATTGTCCTGGTATCATAGTAAACAAAAATAAATATCCCCGAAAAAAAAATTGAATCTTTCCGGAGTAAAAATATTTGCCTTTTATGAAAATAAAACAGCAAACTTTTAGGTGAAATATCGAGCCTCACAGGACTCAGAGGAAATTTAAAAATAAATAAAAGTAATAGGATTTTAGCCGCTTTGGTAACCTTAAAGTACAGAAGATTTAAAGTACTTTGTCCACTAGTTTCGGGGAAAAGCGACTTGTCTCAAAAACAACAAGAAAAGGCTCAACAACACAAATTTGACAAAACCATTCATAGCCATATATTTCGCGTCCACTCATAAAAAGAATAGTTTCACTGTTGACGATTACCTGACATCGGATCCCAGTTATAGCCAGTTTGAACTTCCCCCTATTAACTAAATTGTTATTGGGTTGTCACGACGCTCAATATAACCCTAGTAAGATACACGACATCACATGAAAATCATAATCAAAATAGATAATATCACCCCGCGGCGCTTTTTGAAAAGAATGAAATTTTAATTTAAATCATCGAGTTAGAAGTATAAAGTATATACTCTGATCAGATTTAGACATTACAATCATTGGGGAGATATAGGAATAATAGTAATATTGTGTGATAAACCGGGCATTTTTTGTATGATTCCAGCTTATTGTGTTATCTGTGTTATTCGGAATGATAGAAAGTTCAAGTAAAGGACTTAACAGGCAATATAGAAGCACTATAGAATGAAAATCAAAATTGTGCAATTCTTGTTAAAACATCCCTAGCTCGAGCGTTCAGAAATTGAAAAATTTGGAATAGTTATGGATATATGTTCCTAATCTCTATTTGAATGGCCTACTCCGTAGAGGGGATATGGAGCTACCGATACCATATCCAATGTAGGATATCTCATACTTGTTGACGACCTGTACTTACTTTAATCTTGATTATTCAAATTATTTTGGGAAATAAATTACTTCTAAAACTTAATCCCAGAGCCTAAACCGAGCCCATCTACAGAAAGTCTGAATGAGTTTGTGTTATATCGATGCACCATGTAATTTATCTTTCTTGTACTTATAATAATCAGGACTATTTTAATTTATTTTTCAGGATACACGACAATATCATTTATTCCGGATGAAGTCCTAGATAAACGTACTGGTAAGTAGTCAAATTTAGTTACCAAGCACGCCTCATGAGTTTGATTGACATGTGAAAGGCGGTGCAAAATTTTAAGGTTAAATATAACATCGAAATTTCAAATAAAAATAGTTACGTTGGGGTTTGACATTTTTTATAAAGAATATTTCCATGCAGATGAGGAACTTCAGCATCAAACAAGGCTGAACGATGACAATAAAGTTGTTCTTCAATGGAGAATTGAGCAAAAAGACATCGTATTTGAGGTGAATTGATCTATTTATCGCAGTGCTCTTCAACAGGGGTTCCGCAACACATGCAGTGGGGTTCCGTGAGTTTATAGGATTCCTTGGGGGTTCCGCGTGAAGGAAAAAATGACTGCTGGGCCAGTAAAGTTGCAAAAAATGATTATTCTTCTTTTCCATGCTTGGATGAATTTCTAAGTGCGCAACATCAAGAGGGACTTCTAGATATCCGTAATGATATTAATTCTGAGAAAACCTTCGAAAAAAATGGGAAGGAATATTATTGGATTTCTCTTCACAAAGAGGGTACAGCAATTGCAAAAATGCATTGAAACTTCTGTGTCAATTTCCCAATACCTATTTGTGTAAATCAGCATTTTCTGCTTTAACAACTATTAATAACAAAAACGAAGTTGTTTAAAGAGTATAAATAACCATGAGTATGAGAATTGCTTTGAGCGCCGTGGAGCCACGATTCAAGAACATTGGAAAGAAAATGCAAGAACAACCTAGTCATTGAATTTCACGCTTGTTACCTTCTTTCTGTTTCGTTGTTGAGGTGGAAATATTTGAATTACAAATATTTCGTGTCACGAGTATTTCGTGTTTTATTTTTATTATTTGGGCTTCCATAAAAAACGAAAAGTGATATCAGGGGTTCCGCAATAACAAAAAGGTTGAAGAGCACTGATTTATCGCCTATTCTAGATTACATAGTGTTATGTAATACAAATATAAACTTAATGACTATTCAAGAGGAATTTTTTTATTTTCTTTCTTTTTTTGCCAAGTACTATCCATTCTTTAACAATTTGTTGTGTAAAGTCATAATAAAACGTTTATTCCAGACCATTGTTTTCTTCTTCTGTAAAGTTCTTCTGTATATACCATATGGAAAAATGGCAAATCTGGGGCTAGAAATGACTGATAATTGTATCAATATGCATATACATCCGCCACAGGGTACAAAATAATGGCACTGAGCAAAACTGCCTGTAGCAAATGCTTTTCCAGTCTATAACGGACAAGGGTGATTTCAAAAAAACTCTATATATTTTAGAGAGTTGTTGTTGGGATGAGTGGTCAAGTATTCTTCGGAATTACGGATCTTTTGTCCAAAGTCCACGCCACTAATGCAAAAATGTGAGATTTGAGACAAATACCCCTTCACGTTTAGAAATAACAAATTAGTAAATATTCAGTTGAGGTCCGGGTTGGTGTTAGAAATGATTTGAAAAATTGGAATTTCCAGCGCAATCTGTATTTCTTACCCTAACTGGAAAATTACTAATTTTCTTATTTTGATCGTTGTGTTGGAGTTTTTTTTTGGCGGTGGCTTTGTATCCCGAATTTCTTCATCATTTAAATTTTACTCCTTGCAAATTGTTTTCCGGTGAACGAAACAGCAACAGTTATTTGTGTGTTTGTGGCAAATTGGTCTTTGGGACAAGCGGTGGCTGCTATTATTATTTGCAATTGGTTCGCCATACATATTTGAACCCTCATCCTTTTTTGAAAATTAAATTACCGATTGTAAACAGTGGAATAGCGTTTCTGCATATATTAACAGCACATTTTCCTGTTTTTATCTGACAAATCATTCACCTAGTTCTCTTACTGAATCACAGCAGCGAATCTCAAACGAAATATCTACCTAAAGCCACCGGACCCATTATCTTTGCATCTACGTACATTTTGCCCGTAAACTGCACCCAGGACATTTACACCTGCATACTCTTGCACCTTTCAGCACCCGCATATATAATGCACTCGCGTACATTTGCACCATGAACATATTCACTCACAGATGTTTGTACCTATATATATATATATGTTTACACCTGCGTACATTTGCACTTATAGATATTTGCAACCGTAAACCTTAACGCCCATAGATACCAGTATTTGAAGCAAACGTGGTCTTATTGCAATTTGCCGTGGTTAGATGGAACTTCTAATGTTATAACTGGTAACGAATGTGGACTCATTGCTTGCAGGTGCGTGATTTAATCAGATTTCCATACATCAACTCGGTTCAAAATCTCGAACCGGGTGAAAAACAGCATGTAACGTAAGTCGTGACGTCACAATACCGAGTAAACAAGTGTCGTGAACAACAAATTTTACTCTTGCCATTTCGATATCGTTTTTTGTTCTGCTCTTCTCTGATCTACATTTAATTATTATTCCTTATTGAATCAAGCTTGTCTTGTGCAATTTGCCAACTTGAATTGTTGTTTTTATTTGTGAATAGATTCCATACGGTGTAATAGCCAGAGTGTCAACTAGCCAAACACCATCGTAAATTCAAGAATGATCTCGAAGGTACTATGTCCTCATGATATAAAATCTTTCAGATATGTCTACATCTGATTCGACAATAATAATGTTAATTTACACAATCAAAATTTTTAAAAAATAGTATTTTGTTTATATCTTCGAGTTACGTGGATAAAAACATGCAATATGTACAATTTCCTGCAGAAGAGCAGTAGATGTGGCCGTTGTGGCACTTTATCCTTCTCTCAAATATGTTTGGTGCCTGCCTCTGACAAAAAAATTCTTTTTCATCATATTTTGTCAGAGAGACTCCCTCCACCTGTCATAGAAAATAGAATCTTACAAATATGAAAAGTTGTTTTTTGCAAACAACTAAAGATACACTATACACATTTGTAAGTTTTAGTTTACTAAAGAACATTTCTTGTCTGAAAATAAATCCTGAATTTACAAATGCCCGTGGAGTGAAAGAAAGTCATCTATTAGGTCGTATGACATGAAAACATTGAGCGATAAATTGATTATTCCATTCATAATTGTTTTTTCAAGCGTGCGTAACAGATATTCTTTTAAATTTGAGACTCAAAAGACATCTAAATATTACTTACATGGGGCAAAAGTTCTTTTATCAGAATATCTTCAACAACATCTTTATCGTACAGTTTGTACGATCCTGATGGGTCGCCGAGAAGTTGTTTTTTTACTTCAACAAAGGCTTTCCGGAAAGACTCTGGTCGACTGATTAGATGAAATGAAGAAACTTTATTTACAAAAGATCAGTTTTTATAATTTATATTAAACTAATGAGAATATTGTATATTTATATTGATTACTCGTTTTTAAAATCATGCACTATAGAGATGAAACATATTTTTGAAAACCGTGCAGTTTAAAAATCTTCAGAAATACATTTTTAATGAGTATCGTTAGGTACAAGTCGTCGAGTCACGATCAATCGGATTCCTCATTCACCGTGGCTTCGCCATCATTGCTAATAAGGAAAATTTATTGAAAAGGTTTCGATTTCCAACAGAAAATACTTTTAATCGCCGTGAATTCTAATAAAATGAAATCGCGAAACACAATAATAACAAAACTCCATTTTGAAATTTATAAAAAAAAAATCACCTTTTAAATCCTTCATGAACTTTTTCACAGAGTTTGAGGAAACATCCACAATGTCTAATTCTCGATGTCTCGCGTATAAAATCTTTATATTCACTATACGTCCACATTTCTCGGGGCAACATTAGCCAGTTGATCAGATCTTTGATATCTTCCTTGAGATCTAGAGAAAAATTTTATATGACAATTCAGGCCTAAATATTTGTAGGAACAAATGGATAGTTGTGCGATTTCGCAGTAGTTTAGTAACGTGAAAAAAAATAATAAAAATACGTTCATTTTTTGTTTCGGTCAGCGAATGTTCCATAAAAAGTATCGAAAATTCAATTTCCAAACATAATAACTATTATATATAATTATATAATTTCCAAATGCAATTATAGTACAATTATTACACAACATTATCATTCTGAGCTCTGATACTCCAAAACAGGTATTTAATGTACAAAGAATAAAAGAAATTGCCTAAAAAAATTTATTACATTAGCTGAGTTGACGAACCTTTTAAAACAACGACAGATGATTTCCCAGGTATAGAGAGATTTTCAGGCAAAGATCCTACAATATTGGCCACGATTTCTAGGTTATGGACTCTTCGTTCGTAGAGGCGAATTTTCGAATAGCAATGTTCGAAAATATTCTGTCAAACGATGAATTTTATTAATGGCAATAAAAATCTTTTCATTAAAGTTTTAGTATTTCATTTCAAATAAAAATTCACAATTTTGAGGAAACTCTTTTTGCTTTCCTAATATTCATTGGTTAGAAGTTATATATATATAAACTCCGCCATTTTCCACCATATAATGTTATTGAAATTGCTTCTAAAGTAATATAATTTCCTTGTTTACAGTATTTATGTGACCATTTTTTTAGACTCATAAGTTGTATATCACATTTTTTACAGAGTTATGAGATGGAACCATTTTCAAAATTTTTATAATCCACATGAATCTTATATACTATCACGTTAATAGTAGTTTTGCGTTAATTCATAGTATTACTGCAGACCGATTTCGTTCGTTATCGAGTATTGTAGACCTCTTGATATGATTCACAGACAAGTATAATTTAGCAGCTTCTGTGTTTTGAATGATGAAAAGGAAATTATTTATTGGAAATATGGTTCTTGTTTTTTATTTTTTCATATATCCATACGCGAATGAGCAACCATTAATCACGATGAAACTGGGTACGTCCTGGTAGTCACCTCCTTGAATTTGCAAATATGCGCAAAGTCATCTGTATCAAAGAAGCCTTTCTCTACCATTGATCCCACAACATTCAACTTCGTCTCAAACATATCATGTAATTCTTGCCTCAGATGTGAAAATAATTTGTTAAATTCGATCATTTCTTGCTTCACTATACTCATGTCACTGAAATATATCAGAGAATAAAACTCTAATATTATTGAATGAAACAGGATCCTTTTTCAGCGACCCCTAAATGCTGCACCGATTGATTACCAGTTTCAAACTGGACTTGGTCAGGAAAATGGACAAGATTCGTTCATTGTAATTTTAATGGGATTGTATTTCTTCTCTCCCTGAGTAAAACTAGGATTATAAACTAAGATTTGTTTCTTGGGTTGTTTTAAAATATGAACTTGTTGAATCAACAACATTTTATGTATCAAATAACGAATTTGTTTTTATTATTTGATTAATGTAGAATTCGAGCAATGAAATCCACAGAATATATGTATACCTATAAACCCATTATGTTAGGTTTAAATGCAATATACCTTGATATATTTTTAATGATATTTCCATATCTTGAATTCCATAATATGCGCTTGTTACATTTTGGACACATTTTGTGCTTTAGCTCTGAACCAACCTCTGGACAATCCATCCATTTATCGAGTGCCTCGCAAGAAAAAATGTGACCACAGTCTTCCAGTTGAATCAGTCTGATCGAAAAAATTGAAAGTAATGAATATATTATAGAATATTAGCCATTTAACAAAAATATAATACCAAGATCTGGATAGAATATAATTTATTTTCTATATGAGGAATGAAAAAGAGCAGAACCGACTGAGTTGGTCATACAACTTACTGAGAATTGACATTTTCTCCGTTTTCAGCTATTATTTCAAGAAACTTTCTCCCATCACATATAGAGCAAATATCTGGACAAGCTTCTCCACATACACCGCAACATTTGTGTTTACATCTCAGTATTTTTGTACACGGTTCGTTGCACCGCGGGCGGTCACATGGTTCACCACATAGCTTACTGCATTTATAATGAGGACATTCCCATTGGCATTGTTGTGCGCATGGGCTGTATGAATACCAACATTCTTTTTTGGATCTGCTATGAGAGCATCTTATTTTACATTCTTCTCTACATACAAGAAATTCCGTGCAACACTTTGATTCAGTCGAGTGACCACACCACAATGTCCGTTTTGAGCGTTTCGTGCATGGTATGTGAAGCCGACCCTAGTGAAATAATAATGATTGAATACGCAAGTTGTATTTCCAATTGCAAAGACTTGTAAAAGTACATTAATGTTATAAATATATACCTCTTGCTTTTTTGTGAATCAGGACAGAGACCCGGGAAAAATGACATCATATATAAAGTATGAGATAACATTTATTATTACCTGCAAACAACTTCCGCAAGTTCCGCCGCACAAGTGACCGCACTGAAATAATCTGTCACACGGAACAGGACAACGCCTAATGCTCATCATGTCTCCTTTGCAGCAAGGAATAAAAGGTTCGTGTCCACACAAAAGTTTTACTGAAATGTTTTGGACATCTTAATCAAGTGTAAAATCGAGTATGTGAAGTTAATTAGAGATAAATAAGTTCGACAAACAATGATAAAAAACAGAAGACAATTAGTAAAGAACTACTGTAACAGGACGGATGACTTTACGATTCCCAAAGGTCTCCGATGGACGATGCCGATATAGACACGCCATTGCGGTAAACTTCAGTGAACATCCAAAATAATTTCGTTGATGAGAATATAAATATATATTATATAATAGATTTACCAGTTCCCCAGTATAGACAATGAAGAGTCGATAGCAATAGGAATAAACTATATTTTAAAAACATGAGTATCTATCTACTCACTTTTTATCTTTTGTTTGCAAATAATTGCTTCTGGTGGTAGGTTGCACTCAACATGTTGTACGTGACCACAAATTGGAACTTTCTGTTAAAAGGCCGAATTTGAGAAAATTATTAAAATAATAAGATGATACATTTTGATTGACTTTTTCGATATCATTGGATTATTTGTAACTTTAAATAGTTTTGAATAATCCTATACCGCCATATTCCAGTATTTGCCATTTATTTAACATTGGGATTGTGTGTACAACGGAGCGAAAATTTGACCATTTTTGAAACTGCTTTAGGAAATTATGAACATAAAAAAACATCTTACATAACCAAAACTATATAGTAATTCTGACAAAATCTCATATGATTAGAACTCTATAACTAAATCACCTTTCCAGCATTCTACTAGCCCTATTGATTAAGCTTTTCATCAATGACATGTAAAATCTATCACAGTTTATTCGTCCACGCGAAAATTGTTTCAGAAAAGTTAATTTTTATTCTAATGGACGATTCTAAAAATTGGTTCCTTAACAAACAGAATTTTTGCGAAGCGCGGTCTTAATAACATATTAAAGATGTGTGTTTATCCACTTCTTAATTTTTCTGCATGGCATAAGTTTAAATGACTATTACTTAAAATCAAAATACGACACCATGCACTATGGTACGTGGTAAATTATATTCGACTATATAGATTTTTATTTTGTGATAAAATTTATATTTTGTTCAATATTATAATGATCAACTTACTTTTGGTATCAATACCTTACATGGCCCACAATCTTCATGACATAATTTTCTACACGGGTGTTTTCTTTCGCACGATCTTGTGCAACTTTCGTAACACTTGACATTGTCGTGATTGCCCGGGTGGCAGTAATACGTTTTACATGAATGGCCACAGCGCAAACGGGCTTTACAGCGATCCGTACAGCCACCTACGGACAGTAAAAATAATAGATTTTTTATTTATAAAATTCGTCACATGAGCAATTTATATCCAACGATTTCAGACGTTTCATGAATTAACATAATTTTTTTTATATTGATTACCGGTATTACTGCATGTATCAGAGTTACCCGTCATTATTTATATTGTCACGCTCTGCTGCCCACGGAGCGGCAATCTAGGTTTTCATGACGTAGCCTTGCACGACAAGAAGTACTGTACATGCATTTACAACTTGTGTCAAGGAGAGATTGTGGCGGTATTTGAGTGTAATAGCGTTATATATTATTAGTTTTATATGAAGTGTAGGGGCTAAGTGTGAGTTGTCATGGGCAAATGCCTGATCTATTTTTAGGAGTATTCTTTTGGGGTTACGTTTAGTTTGTACCACTAGTACTTCTAGTGGGCGTCGCATAACCATTTTTGCATATGGTATTCCTGACTTCCACCTGACTATGCAATCTAAAAATTGCAATCACGTCATAGAGCTTGCCAAAGTACAGCTACAATCGCCCGAAATGGCATCTGAAACGACGATATCGAACTCAATAACGCCAGTGATCTTTCTCATATCGGGATCGTTGCATCCACTGCCTTGGAATCTCTGTGGTTGCGATGAGAAAACGAGAGAAATAGCTTGCTCGATTTCGGGTGATAGTCTGCGCGTTCTGGATGACCATTAGTATACTTTGGAAGGCATTATTACGCCGCAGTGACGTGATTGTTTGATCACTTAGTCAGATGAGGGTTAGGAATGACATGTGCAAAATTTTGAGCCAGGCCAACTAGAAATACATGTGGTGCGACCCTTTTGTGCTGTTATGATCATTCAATACAAGCTAAGCGGAAAAAAGTTATTCCAATATATACAACTTATTTGCCATATGTAAAATAATTTCAAACTAAATTGCCTTATATACATACAATTAGCAAAATACCTTCCGGCACGTTGTCGAAGTCTTCAGCATTTTTAACAGGAGTACAATGTTCTGGATGTTTTTGGCATTTAAGCACCAGACATTCTCCAATACATCCTGATTGTTCCAATTTCAATGCAATATGCTTCCACAGCTTACTCTTTTCCTTCAGCAACTTAGAGAAACATTTGCATATTTTGAATGTTTGCAGTGAATTATATAAATAGTAAAAAGATAACATTCCCTTATTTCAAGTTTCAAACATTATTACATATGTTATTTTTTCATTAACTTCCCTCTCATATAATTTTTTCGCTTCAGATATTTAATAACTCTCAACGATTCAAATTTTGCTCAGATCTTAACAAATTAATATTTTGCCTATTTTTGCTGTGAAGTGATCTCTACGGGCTATCATCAAATTTTATGTTACTAAAAACACTGAGTACCTCTATATTCCCGATGCAATAAAAAGCATTCTAGCACGAGAAAGTGCTACACATATTCTGTTCTCAATACGAAGAAATCCAATGTTCCCCTGTTAGAAACACAAGCTCGATGAGTTATTTTAATTAAAGGTGATCGAGGTTCAAAGAAAAATTTCAATTTTATACATCGACGATCATAATACTCTACTTGTGCATATATTAACAACAGAATCTATCAACAGATTCAATTCAACACCGGGAAATTACTACAAATGAAGGGAGTTGATGACATGGAAACTGGGAATGACGTAATAATTCTGAAAAAAAATACCAACGTGAATGCTGAGTCTGTTCCGCGCCGGAGTTAACTTTCAAGTCTCGTGTCAACCCATACCTCAAATACCGGTATTATTATTACCGCGCCAATCATCTCGCGTAACCATTTAACAGTACTTGTATCGATTTCACAGGGTGGAAAAAAAGCACTGTATTTAAGCACTTTACCTCGGAATTACTTCTAACTAGAGACAAGAGGATGATGTCATTTTCTTCTCCTTGGTATCCATCGACTGGCGTCACTTTAACATCTTTGCATGAATCATCTAAAACCGAACGGAATGCCGATATCTGACCAGCGTACATAGCCAAGATTGTTATTTGTGATGGTTTATATTGCTGTTGTATCAAATATTTACAAAGTCTCGCTAAAAAGTTGGCTTCAAACTTGTTTTTCTTACTTTTTCCTTCTAACATGTTTTCTTCCGGAATGTTGTGCGACACGAAGAATACTGATTTAGTGAGACCTCTCATATTTTCCCACCCGTTCCTTTTTGAAACACTGGAGTGATCCTGCAAATCGGAGTAAATTTGTGGCCGTAACAAATCAGCAATCAACGGTTGCATGCGATGTTGCGTTGAAAGTGTAACGTGTGGTACGTTTTTAATCATTCTTTCAAAAAGTGATATCTCCAGCTTATACTTTTTCGCCAATTCGTACACCGCTGGAGAAGGCTTAAGTTGTTGATGATCTCCTATCAAAATCAGATGCTGTGTAGTTTTAGGCAAAGCAGCGACAATGTGCGCTTCCAGAACTTCTGCTGCTTCCTCCACAATCACAATTTTAATAGGCAGGCGATTGATTAGTGATCTATACTTTGCAGCTCCTGTCGTTGTTAGAGCAATCACATCACGACTTTTTACAATTTCTTCATCCTCATCCTCACGAAGCTTCGTCAAATCATACAGCCTTTGTGTATTCTCCGCCAAAATATTGTCGCGATTGATTCGTTTACTAGCACGCCATTTCTCTACCCAGTTTCTATAAATTGGTGCATTCAGATCAATTGAGATGATTATTTATCTTTGTAGTAATACATACATAATGAGTTTGCAAAATAAAGAAGTAATATGTATACCTGTACAAACACCATCTCTCTTCAAGTTCAAGTACATGAAGATCGTGAACATTGGCTACTTCATAATCATTCATTGTCGATGTTTTGTCGCGACGATCATGCGATTGGGCTTTATGCAGCATCTTTCCTAGTTAAAAAAGAACATGAAATGAACTTTACTGATGTGGACTCGATTCACCATTTAGCAAAAAGCGATTATCTAGTGCTTATATAACTTACTGAAAACATAGATTCCATCACTCAGTTATGCCCGTGAGCATTTAAACACCACAGAAACATGTTTAAAGAATAATTAACTAGGTAAAACAGGTCATTGTAAAAATATTTTTCAGTCATTGTCCGAATTGCATTGCAAAAATATGGCTTCAATGATTAAAATTGTAGAATTCACCCGACCTTTAGTGGACAGAAAAGAATGCTGCGATTTGCAATTTTTATATTTTGCAAGCTTTTTAATTCGCCACATTGAGATAACTTGCGTGATACGTTACAAAGGTTGCATGGGTAGGGCAAGCTGGATTTTCTATAAATTGTAGTTTACTTTAGTCACTAAATAGGGCTTTTCTCGCCCTAAAAAAATGAGATAGATATTTCTTATAGAGACAGGACTTATTTACAGTACAACCAACCCAACAATAATAATAACATTTTTGAAAGTCTCGAATTTGTGTTCAAAATATAGTGATAATGTCGAGCATTGGCATATTCTTGGGCTTTTTATGAACAGAAAACGAGATTCACATATACATTATATATATATATATATTTATTTCATATATACAACCAATTATTAAAACTATAAAATACTTGACCAATTCAAAATCGGTGAAAAAATCTTTACAATTTCGACTTGAAGAAATTACAAAAATATATATAAAATAAAAGTAATAACTTACGTAGGATACCAGTATCTACCGAAAGATACCTTGATTTCAATTCATCAATATATCTGTCATCTTTTTTGTTTCCAGGCTGTCTGCCATGAAAATCTAAACAACGAATTACATAAATTATAATAAATGTAGATATTTATATTTTGCTATTTAATGACTGACTTTTGTTGTTAAATCGATAAAAAAATGTGATAAAAAAATTACCACCGTATTCTAAATTTCTTCTATCTTCTATAATTGACGATTCCTCCATAATATGGGCATGTGCCGGGCTTCTTTGATCTGCAAATGTGTTATTCGAAGCGTTCAGAACAGAACAATGATTTTATAAAATTTGTATAATATTTTCTAAAGCGGAATAAATATTAAAACAAGAGAGCTATGCTCAAATATATGGACACGTTTACCGATTTCAGAAAAAGCACCAACATTTAAAGACATCAGTTATAACAGTGAATGCAAGCCACTAGTTCAGTGTCACCGCGCTGTGTTACGGTACCGGAACTGCCCTATCTTTTGATGTCTTGTGACAGCGTGAATTGAAATTGCAAGAGGGTCCGACTCACAACTGTAGTAACACCAACGATCCGAGTCACTACTGTAATATAACACCAAGTACGGCACTATTCGCCATTCACCATTCCTCAAATCTTAGCAAAGCCAGGATTTCATTACGAACCACCGTCGTTCGATGGCACGTGATCGAAAAAACATGAAGATAAGTGCCAGTATACACATCACAAGGTGTCGCTATGTTTTATTCTGACACATAAAAAACGAATCTCTCGAAGACCACAGAAATTTTTGAAATGAGTAAAAGTAATAGCCTTCTGGCGAAAAAAATCAATCTTTAAGCACTGAAAATTTCGAAGCAATTTGTCCAGTATTAGAAGAGAAAAGCGATTTTATCATGACGAAGAAGAATATTAACAAGAACAAAAACATGATATTGAAACGATCGTTATGTACACTCACGTGTCCAATAATGGTCTATGTTTCATATTTTGATATGACTTGCCTTTTTGTTTATTTGACGATCGCTTCAAGTCTTGGAGACGTCTTATCATGTGATTTGACATTCCAAGCCAACGTAGAAGTGATGAATCTTTAGTATCCCCGGCTGGAAAATATCGAATTTAGACTTCCGTTTTGTTTATTGACCTATTCTTTGAAGTGCTACCGAATAGAAGTAATCTCTTCAAATTTCTATTTTCGCTTTTACTTTTAATTTTCTTTCTAGTGTTTGATGACGATATTAATTGTATCCTAATGAAAATTTATGTGGTGAAACAATTTTATTTGAAGTCGGAACTAATAATTCACCCAATCACAAAATGAGAATAATTTAAAGCTTTCAAGAAGACTTCCCATCTTCAAATACTAAATAATGATCTTTATATTGAGAAATATTATATGTCCAATAGTGAAAGGGAAGCGCAATTTTTGTCTACACAAGATTATCTACACCCCACGGTCACCAGTCGCCACCAACGACAACATAAACATAAACTAGCCAAAAGATTGTTAGGTCCATTTTTTCAATGTAGTTGAAGGCTGTGACTTAGAATTGTGTTGCCATTCACAATTAAAAGCTAATGCATCACCCTTGTGCTATTTTCAGAAACCGTGCGGCGATAACAAATTACATTTTTACATTCTGTGGCCAAGTTTTATGAAACAATCTTCACAGGAACTCAAATGATTGTTTTACATACCCTCTACGAATTTATCTTTATTCGTCAGATTATCAAGATTCAATCGAAATAGTCAAAAAGTTTTCAAATAGAGTTTGCAAGCAACTGGCATGGAGATGGGAAAAAAAGATATATATATTTTGTCACCAAAACAAAAAAATTAGCTCTTGTTAAATGCTCTTAGTAAAAACTTTATTTTTTTTTATTCTGAACTGAAAATGCAAACATCTTTGGAAGTATGTATCTATTTGCTAAAATGAATTAATAGACGCAAAATTTCACGTTCTCTGTACTGACATAGCTGGGTATAAAGCACATCAGGAATAAATTCTTTGAGTTGATCGAATTTCAGCACACCTAGAAGAGAAACTTCTATTTGAAAAGTACTTTCTCGAAAAATACTCTCGCCATTCTTGAGGGCACCTGCGAAATAAAAAGTAATTTTTGAAGAACTTTCAACGTGACAAATGCCAAAGTTTGTATGTCTTGTAATTGATTAGAAGTATATATAGACGGAGATCCTAATCTTTAATATAACGAAACAGGCGAATGCAATTGAATGAGGTTCTAAATGATTTGGAGACAGAAGATCAATTTTATCATTTTTTTATTTTCAAATACTTGTGTATACCGAATTACAGAATGTTCTGTTTAACGAGTTATTACTTGCAGAATAACAATATATTTACAGCAGAAAAAAAAATTAACAAAAGAATCTGTATATCAAATTAATACCAACCTATAGAAGAACCAATTGACTTCTTGAATCGAGAATTGTTTTTATTTTTCATTTCTTTTTTAATCGATGCAAGCGTATATTCTGCAACAACGTCGCTGTTGCACCGACCTCCTATTCTAATAATATTTTTGCAATATTCTTCAATACTTTCCACAAATTGGTCGAGTGCATGATTTGTGTAGCATACGACCAAAATAGGAGAGTGGGACTCATGGCGTCTGAAATTAAACAAAACCAAGTTTTGACATATCAAAATATACAGCAAATTAACATTCACAGCATTTTTGCTTCAACCAAAAAACATTCCTTCTTGCTACATAATGTGCAATTTGGATATTATAACAAAACACATTTGTGGATTTTCATTTTGTAATTTCAATAGTATATGAGTCAATGGCTCATTCCGAAATTTAAAGGAAAAATAATACTTGGTAGCAAAATGTATCAAAAGATACCTATATTAGAAAGTAGTAGAAGTGAAAAAAGTTTAAAACACTGATTGATGATTGAATGATTTTACTCAAAAACTAGTCGATAAATAATTTTGAATTATTTGGTTTCACTTTTGAATCACACAACTACCCCTTATATTAACTTACCGCCACATTTTTGCATTAGCTAGTAAAATTTCCATGATTTGCACACTAACGTGTGTCTTTCCTGTGCCAGGTGGGCCTTGTATAACGGCAAATTCTTTAGTCAAAGCCAATTTCAATGCATCTGCTTGTACTTGGTTGAGATTAAGTTTACTTGCATCGGGCCATTCACTATCTTTTAGCAGTCTAACCTTTTTCCATTTGTGTTTAACTAGAGAGAATTATGCGTTAGTACTTCTAACAAAATAAAAACAGAAAGTTATGTCAAATTATGCGTATTAGATTAATTTTAATTTATTCTCCATACGAGATTTTCCAAAGCTAGGTTACTAGCCCTCAACTTATGGTGGAAAAAGTAATAACAAAAGAGTTGCAGTCACGGAAAGGATGGATACCGTGATTGTGTTTGGTTTGATTACAAAATTTTCATAAAAATACACGTTAAATAGCAAATTGATTTCAAAGCATGAGATTTATGGTGTCATATAACATAAGGTATAATATATATATATATATATAATAGCAGTAATTTGTAATTCTTTACTTCCAACCTTAATTGTTCATTCTTGAATTGCTCTGATGAACTTGCATATAATATTGAGGATTAAACTTTTCTACGCAGGTAATTTGATAAATATCTAATGGTTTTATTCCTTCCTATTTCAAATATTGAATGAACTAGATACCTTCGGTTTTATATTCGTCTGAAGAGTTGGTACAATATGTCTTGATCCTATAAGATGTAGATTTGTTCATGTACTTCGGACGTTTCACGTGTTTGGAGCATTGGACAATATATCTATTCAAAGGAACTGTTTCTGTTTCTGAATATTAAAACGAAAATATATATAAAATGTATTAATATTTTCAAGACGAGAATGACCGCCCATTTTTGTTGTGAGAACGTCGTCTTGTAGGCGGATGACAGAAGCTCCACCCGTACCTATTTCTACACAATGTTTGTGTTTCCTATGATATGGTATTTTAGATAGAAATTGTGCGTTTGAACTGCGTGCGTTCGATTTTTCCGTCAATCATTTTTTCAGTTAACAGAACCACTGCAACCAATGTATTTTTTTCTAGTAAATTCAATAATTGGTGAAGGTCGTAGATTTTCTAACTCAAGTCTACCTTTTAGTGCCGACAGCACATGTGTATAGGCTTC